GGGATCGAGAGATAGAGATTTGGAAGAATGTAATACTTAGGATTTAGGGTAGAATAGGTCTTCAGCAACCCATGCTTACTGTAAAAGGCTACTATGCTTGTCGTAAGAAGCGACTAACAAGATCGGGTGGTCAGGCTCGCTAACTTGGTTGATGCATGTCATCGATCTCAATTGCGTGGATCGATGCTCATCAATCACTGGATTGTCTGGTCCATATAGCTGGAATATTGCTGAGTGCGCCGTTAAACAATAAACAAACAAACAAAACTTAGAGCGTCCTACTCCAGTTTTGATAGGGAGAGATTTTATCGTTCCATGAAACACAAAAATGATTTCTTGTCAGTTGTTAAATTAATATGTTGAGTGGTATAGTTACTGGGCAATTTTTCCTCTTTCTGTAAATAAATCTGTAATATACACACAAAATATGAACGGGCATGTAAACTTTGGGCTTAGTATGAGGGATTAATAAGGATTACTAAGAGATTACTAAGAGATTGGTGTAGCAATTGATAAGGGGGTGCTTGATACCGCGAATATGGTAGTTTATACTTCAGTCCCAAATAAATTGTGATAAGCATCGTTGATGTTCATATGTCCTCAGTATGTTTTACCTGCTGACATTCAGTGGTATTGGAGTGAGTGAGTGAGTGAGTGGGTTGGGTTTAACGCCGCTTTTAACAACATTCCAGTTATATCGTGGCATGCCAGCTTAATGTGGGAGGAAAGCTCGAAGTGATGCAGGTCTCAGACGTTTACCACTTTGGTGAAACCTACGAGCACGGGTATGGTGCTGACAAACCTAGGAACCTAATGGGGGCGAACCAGGATTCGAACCCACAATCATAGGTTTCTGGCGTGCCCAAGGGACGCAATTCTGCACAGCGAATCGCGGCGCCTTAGACGACTTGGCCACCCGTGCCCCCTCAGTGGTATTGGAAGGGCGATGGGTAGCCTAGTGGTTAAAGTGTTCACTCTTCTGACCGGAGACCCAGGTTCCATTCCCCACATGGGTACAATGTTAGAGGCCCTTTTATGGGGTGCCCCGCCGTGATATTGCTGGAATATTGCTAAAAACGGCGTAAAACCATACTCACTCACTACTCACCTTTGCCTCGGGAAGATGGTTTGCGACCATATCTGTCCAACAATAAGGTGTCATTCGCGTCAAGACTCAGTTGTCGAGGAGAATTAAATGTCTTGTGTATGATGTGACTCTTGACTAAAGAAAACAGAGAATGATGCAAATGTTCAATATTTTAATTGCATTAATAACAGTTGCTACAGTACTGTAATTGATAACCACAAAAACTATGGATCAAGGGGGTGAGGTGAAGTGGGGTTTATCGTGATGTTCGAGGTTATTGCACTTACATAGCGACATGCCTGCACGTGTGTGTGGCTGCTTGTACTAGTCCGGACTGGGGCGGTCGGGTAGCCTAAAGTACTCACGGAAATGAAAAAAAACTGTTTTTTCTATCTCAGATTTTAAATAAATGCAGTTAATATACAAAATATATAAATATTCAAACAACTCAATTAGTACTAATTGGGCCTTGGCACAAATACAGCGTATCAAATGTTTTTATGTCTTTTTACACATAAAAGTATGTAAAAATATGAACAAAACAGACTATTGTGAAACTGAGCATAACCAGGTGTTAGTAGATCAAGGTGAATGTCCATGACCTATGACACCTTGATGACAGGTGAAAACAGGTACTTGAAACCCATGTGCATGTGATTTGTCAGTGGTTAGTGATTTGTCAGTGGTATTTTGGGATAGTGAATCATCGTCAAAATATCAGAACGTAAAAGTAACATATTCCCTTCTCAAACAACAACTTACATGTCATTATTATTATGTACACGAACATAGCTGTTATTTTTATTGTTGTTTTGATAACTTTTTTCCAGGCTCATTTGCATAATGCCTATAGCCTGTTTCTTCCATGTCAATTTGGACGTAGTTTTATTTTTGAATGTTGAAAGTGCCTACAAATTACCTCCTGTAAAGTACATTTTGTATTGAGCACTGAGATAAAACTAGCAAATCCAGACTAGTACTTTTCCAGTTGTTTTGTTATTTCGTATTTACATCTACGTAATGCTTCGTGTCGATTATTAAATTCAGCAAAACAGGTTTTTTTTCATTTCCATGAGTACTTTAGTGGTTAAAGCGTTCGCTCTTCACACCGAAGTAAAGCGGCGTAAAACCATTTTCACTCACTCCAGCAATTCATCAAGATCGTATGTACAGGAGTCAGTGACTTATGACTTACATATCCCCCTCCCAATCATGTCACGACAAGTTTCTGTTAGTCCCCAATACTTGGTGCTAAAGTATACTTTTGTTAATATAGTTCTAAACTTTTCACTATTATGGTACTTTTGTGTTGATTGGAACTTAATATTCTAGAAACATTATCACACCTAAGGACACCCTGCAGTTGAATAGGCTGGGGGGTAGGCTAGCGGTTAAAGCATTTGCTCCTCACGCCAAAACCCCAGGTTCGATTCCCCACATGGGTACAATGTGTGAAACCCATTACCGATGTCCCCTGCCCTTATATTGCTGGAATATTGCTAAAAGCGGCATTAAACCATACTCACTCACTCACCCTGCAGTTGAAGGTTCTGCAGTGCAAGTACGACCAGGAACCAGACCCTCAGGCTCTTTATTGGTTATTTTCTACCGGGGGACTGACTGCCATTGCTCAAACGGTAGATAGTTCGCTGTTCTCATAATGGATAATGAACAATAGTAGGAATGTGTTTAGGAAATAACAAGGTTTGTTCTCTGAATCATGATGGATCATCAAAAATATTTTTATTGGGCAGTGAGACATTTATCATTTGATAGTTACACCTAAAGGTAACATCTGTTCAAAACTTTCGTACAGTGTAACCAGTGGTAACCTGTCACTCAAACATAGATCAGACACTCGATGATTGGTCCTTATAGAATGTGTTGTTTTGTTAGAAGTCATGAATATATTTTGCATGAATATAAGGTTTTTATCAAATCAACTAAGCTCTGTTAGTCACAAGTATTACCTGATGTCAACATGTCTCATATTCCTTGCTCCATCGTTCAAAGCTTCAGTTTATTATGTACATAGCCAAATAAACAAATGTGAAACCATGGTATTGTTTGTTTTAGTGTTTTCTCCGAATGTACAGTATGTCACATCACTTTTTGAGCAATTGAGTTTATACTTTCGGGTTTCAATTTTCATTCAATCTCATTAAATTCAGATCTTAGTTTTCACTACCGCTAACCAAAGATCTGAGGACATCCCATTACGGGTCACGTCAGAACAACTTTTCGCGAACATTGACCGACCAATGAAATGACTGACAAGAAATCAACTTTGGCCAATCAGAAGGCAGCTATCTCGAGCTTTACGGCACTAGTTTCAAACTGGCCATTATGCTTTGAAACATATTTTGACGTATTCTCGATTAAAATTTTGAAAACTGACCAAAACAACATTCTGGAATGGCTTATAGATGGCCTAGATTGTATGGATATAATCATAAAACCCGTAACTGTCGTTCTGAATACCCCGTGTTAAATATCTCGAGGTTGCCTGATTAGAAAACACATTCCGATTGTCACTTTCAGGATCTGGTAAGCGACGCCCTGATTAGTTGGATGCAAGGTTGTGCTGACGTGACCCATAATGGGATGGGATGTCCTCATATCTTTGTTTAGCGGTAGCAAGAACTAAGATCTAATTTTAATTAGATTGATTTTAATTGGGTAATTAAATTTTTCATTGGGTAACCAATATTTTCTCACTCATCTATTCATCACTCTATTGCGTTTTTCCCAAAAGTAGTGAACATTTTAAGATTTCAAAAAAATGAAAAAATATATAACTGTTCTAGATAAATAGATCTAGGCTTGACTCGGGAAGTAAATTAGCCAGTAATTGTGTTTTGGAAATTAGCTCCTTTGTACGCATGCTGAAAAAGCTTCATTGGGTATTTACCCGTGCTGTTTTTATACATTTGAGTTTTTCATTTAATGCATGTGTTTCTGTACACAAGTAATTGAAAGAAATTGGGTTTTTGGGGGGTATTTTACGCAAATTCGCTGTATGTATGGATGGATGGATGGATGCATGCATGTATGTATCAGGATCTCTTGTAGGTTTTATATATTTGATTGAAGGTTGCTCACCTTAAATTTTACAAATGTTGATTAATATATTTTGTTGATATTTTCTTATCTTCTTATTGAGATGTTAATTAATCGTAGTAATGTAAGCAAAAAACTGTCTCTTTTCATTTTTTTCATCTTTTTTCATGTTCCACACAATCAATTACTGTTTTGAAATGTTTTATGAAAACATATCCATTTTTAAATATTTCACAGAATTGTTCACAAAAAAACTATAAACCAAACAATAGAGAAGGGAATCCAACTTGACAGATCTGGTTTTGGGGTTTGTCAGCACCATACCCGTGCTTGTGGGTTTCACCAGAGTGGTAAACGTCTGAGACCTGCATCACTTCGGGCTTTCCTCCCACATGATATAACTGGAATACTGTGGAAAGTGCTTTTGAAACCAAACTCACTTCTAGATAGCATGGGGGCGGTCGGGTAGCCTAGTGGTTAAAGCGTTCGCTCGTCACACCGAAGACCCGGGTTCGAATCCCGACATGGGTACAATGTGTGAAGCCCATTTCTGGTGTCCCCCGCCATGATATTGCTGGAATATTGCTAAAAGCGGCGTAAAACCAAACTCACTCACTCACTCACTCACTCACTCTAGATAGCATGATGATAGTATGTACGTGTTTGTTAGATGGATCTTTGTACAGTTTATTATTAGAAAATAAATTAAGAAAATATTGGCTAGGTTTAGGTTGGCAGATTGTAGAATGATTGGTTGAACATGATTGTAATTGATGGTCATTATTTCACAATACAAGTATGTCATCATATAGACTGGACAAGATGATGAGGCACTGACTGTTTATGATTTCAGGACAAGGTGTAATCCCATTGTGAGTATCCCATGAGTCAGGTGGTGGTTCTGTGTTGTCAGCTTCCCAATAACCCGTCAGTGAGTCCCAAGGGAAAGGTTACCCCCAAAATTTGATATTTAAAACTACAGAAATTAGGACCATCCATTTCTTGGTCAAGACACACAGGGAGTAGGGATACTAAACCATGAGTGTTGATTAAGATTAAGTAATTTCAAGGTGCAAGTTTAGAACTGGTGCTGGTATTGTAAAGGAATTGAAAAGAAGCATTGTTGTAATAAACGTTTATTTTCAGTAAAATGTTCTTTAAAGTAAAATGTGAGTGAAATGATCCTGATTATTTAAGAAATTTTTTATTTTTTTTAATGCAGTTTCTGTAATTATATTAAGGGTTTTGATGCACAAATGTGATGAACATTTTGACCCTCCCCTGGTGCATGTCATATTTTTGGATGACCCTCCCATGTCCTTGCACCTTATTTTCATGACCCTCTCTAAAAGGAAAAAAAAGCACTTGATATTTTATTATAAAAGATCCACTTTTTCATGACCCTACCCAAATAGAAGTATTATTTTTATGAGTGAGTGAGTGAGTTTGGTTTTACGCCGCTTTAGCACTATTCCAGAAATATCACGGGGGGGGACACCAGAAATGGGCTTCACACATTGTACCCATGTCGGGATTCGAACCAGGGTCTTCCGCGTGACGAGCGTATTATTTTTATGACCCTTCCCCTAGAGACTGTCATTTTTTTTTTTTTTGATGACCCTCCCCTGATTCCCAATGACCCACCACCCCTATAATAAATGACCGGTCCCTTACGCAGCATGACAACACCCATTTGTGCACACTACGGAATGCATAGTTAGGAGAAGGGGACACTGACAGAGGTATTTGAGAGAGCTATGTTGGTGGTCTATATATTCCTTGGTGGGACAAGATTAAATTTCTCCTTTAAATTAATCCTGACCAGTAGGGTGGTTGAAGTGAACTCCTCACACACCCGAGTTTGATTCCACACATTGTTACCTCTCTGGGTGTCCCAGCATTGATGGTGCATGATTATTACTAAAATCTCAATCTCTATCCGCTAATTTGTGACCTACGTAAATTGAGCCTTTGTGGGGAGGTCCCAATGGAGGAGGTCACAAGCCAGTATAGGCCTAGTCATTAAAATATGGGGTCTTTGTCGGTATTTTTACGACTTTGTTTAAAAAAAACCACGTGAATATCAGAAAAGCTGTAAAATCAAAAATGCGAAATTATGCCTATGCGAATACGGATGTCTGTCTGCAGGGAACATTGGGACAGCTGGTTCTGCTTTCGTTTCATATCTGCAATTCTTGTTTTAAAAATACCCCGAAGTGAATGGTTAAGGTCGTTTCATACGTTTATTTTTTACGAGATTTTAGCACGGTCGTAAACAGTACAGTTATAATTTACAAGAAGCAATATTTTATGGACATAAAACATTATTTTTTATGATAAAAAAATATATATTTAACTAATCTTACTGACAGTGGCAGCTTACTGTGCATGGTGTGTTCGCTTTAATAATAAGGCAGTTTATGATGCGCCAAATTCCATCCGCCATCTTTGGACTCCCAGCACTGTCAGTGAATGGTTGTTAGCTGATCGTAACTGCCTTTCTGGGTGCATTTGCACAAAGCGATCTTAGCGCTAAGGTGATCGTAACTCCTATACCTCAACTAAGACTTACGACAGACGTGGTGCTAAGCTGTTTCGTACAACGGCACCCTGGGTACTGTTGTACAAAACAACCTTAGCGCTACAACCATCGCAAGTCAATGTTAAGGTATGGGGGTCACGATCACCTTAGCGCTAAGATCGCTTTGTACAACGGCATAAGGTATGGTGAGATTGGTAAGGTAGGGCAGCCCATGGGAACACCCGAACCATCGGAAGAGAGTAATTTGGAGTTACTGATTAAACATCTTCCGAGGAGTTAACTGACTGTAAAAGTCCAGCTTGTGGAAACTGGAGTTTTATAGTCAGTTCACTGCCTTGCCTCGGGAAGATGCTGCTTAAACAATGAACAGCAGATACGACCAGTTTCTGTTGCCTCTTGGCCTGCTATTCAACTTAATGTGGGTGTTGGTCATGGAGGCTAACTTTCCTTTTACCGCGGGTATGGTGCTAATATATAATTGGGGGCGGTCGGGTAGCCTAGTGGTTAAAGCGTTCGCTCGTCACGCCGAAGACCCGGGGTCGATTCCCGACATGGGTACAATGTGTGAAGCCCATTTCTGGTGTCCCCCGCCGTGATATTGCTGGAATATTGCTAAAAGCGGCGTAAAACCATACTCACTCACTCACATATTATAAATGGTATGACGTAGCTCGTAAATGCTGATTTGTAATGAGATTTCTGTCGCTTTAGTTTTTTTATCGGTCAATATCGGGGATGTAATGCAATAGTAGGGCGGAATCGCGCCTCAAAGGTATCCCTACATTGTGTAGATTAAACAATAACTGTATAAACTGATTATCTGCACAAACTTGTATAAAGGTTAATAGATCTACCATAACAGAGCGTTGGGTAATTGTTAAATCGATCGCTCGTCACGCTGAAGACCTGGTTTCGATTCACAACATGGGTACAATGGTACTCACGCAGACCATACTCAAGCAGTCACATTCATGTTAACCACATACATTGGGGTTGACCTTTTCATGTAGTTGGCGTATTTAACAGTAATGGAATGTTATCGTTTGAATGAACTCATTATTTAGTTCCCGGTTTATAACTTTTACGTAATTTGAACGTAGAAAATATGTGGCATTTTTAGTGTGTGATTGTCTTAACACATTACCCCCTAGTCGTGATTTCGAATATCTGATCAGGAACCTTGCATCTACAAACTTAATATTAATTTACTTTGTAACTTTCACTTGCCAAACAAGAAAAGATATTATAAGTAATACAAACATTAAATATACAAAGAGGACATGTCTCATAAGGGTCTGACCATTTGGTATTCGGGGGGGTGGAGGTGGGGGGTGGATTTTTAATCGAAAAGATTAAATTGTCCCTCAAATTGCATAGAAAAATTCATTCTACTTGACATTGTTGTCCGCCACAAAAATACATTTTGCAAGATACTTTAAAATGTATTTAGGCACGTGTTTTCATTCTGGTATTGCAGATGTAGCTGGAATAAAATATATAATATCAAAAGTAATATCGAATGGTCCGGAGGAGGTGGGGGAGGGTTCCTCGGGTAGTAAATTTTTACTCGTCCCAGCCCTAACACAAAGCCAAGTAGGTAGTGTGTTCGCTCCAATCAGGTTTGAATCCCGACATTGGTACAGCACCTAATCCAGCTTGTTGCCGTCCTCCACTCTAATCAACTGCAAGATCCCTAAGGCCATTTAATAAACGTCTGTTTCTTGAAAAAATTGATACTAACTCAGTCACAGTTTTGTATGTTGAATTTATTTCCTTTCAGACGAATAAAGACAGAATCCACCAAGATGCTCAAAGCAAATTACACCCACATTCATATGTAAATAGTGATATTTCCATGTACACTTCCATTATTATATCGTCACGTGGATTCCATAAATTGTCACCTCCGTACATTATTCACCCCAAACCATGGCCCAGAAATACAAAGGATTCTACATAGACACCCAACTTGGATTTAAACACTTTCCTGCAGCCAACGCTTTTTCCTGCAGCCCACGCTTTGCACTTTCTAAACAATCTACCCCTGAAGATCCGGGTTCGAATTGAGCAACCCGTGCTTGTCGTAACAGGCGACTAACGGCTGTCAGGTTGTCTGACTTGGTTCGTTCATGCACGGACTTGTATATATAGGTCCGTGGTTCATGTCTACGTTCCCAATTGCGTAGATCGATGCTCATGATAAAAAAAAGAGATTGGCATCCTCTTAGCATAGACCTACGGAGATCGTAGCACTAAGATCGCTTTTTGGTCCGAACAGAACTGTATATCACCTTCTAAGTAAGAAACATTGGTTTCTCCACACGACATTTTCCTTGGCAACAGAGCCACAAGGTTCATCTTGGCCCGGCACTATTCGTGACCACTCGTGTCATTCCGGGACAAGACGGAAAGGGACGGGTCGAGCCGAAGAGGTGTGTGGCATCCGGTTATTAATCAGAACATCAACACCTGATCAAGATGATAAGTGTCACCAACGACAAGGGTACGCCGTATCTGGATATCATGTTCATGTTGTATAAAGGATATATCACAGAGAAAGTCAATAAAACACAAATGTACAGTTTTGTCTGTCTTGTCTCGTGATATGTGATAATAAATCTACAATGGCACCGCTATAGTTCAGAACTGAATACACAAATCATATTTTGAGCCCCCGGGACAACATAATTCATATATTGTGAGAGTTCCGGGTTATAACCACAGGATAGTGAATTTCTGACACTCGTGATATTAATTGATCTGGAAATATGTAAGCAACGACACAAGGGTCTGTGGTTGGATTATGTCTTCACCACTGTGCTAGTCATAAGAAGAGACCAGGGCCCCGTTCCACAAAGCGATCTTAGCGCTACGACTGTAGTAAGTCAGTGTTAAAGAATGGGAATAACGATCGACTTAGCGCTAAGATCACGTTGTGGAACGGGGCCCTGGTGGATCGGGTGGTCAGCTTCTGTGACTTGCTTGATGTCGTGTCATCGTACCCAGACGGCGTGGATCGATGCTCACAATATCAATCACTGGATTGACTGGTCCCGACTCTATTATTTACTGGCCGCCGTCATATAGCTGGCATATTGCTGAGTACGGCGTTAAACAACAAGCACACAAACAAACCTGTTCTCCGTCCGGAAACAGTTTTAGAGATACACATCCATTGACATTTAAACACACGCCGACGTGCAGACTTCTGAAGTTGGACCGCCTCCGTGGTCTTGTGGTAGAGCGTCCGCCCGGAGAGCGGAAGGTCCAGGGTTCGATCCCGGGCTAGTACAAGCAGCCACACACACACATACACGTGCATGCACGTCGCTATATAAGTGCAATAATCTTGGACGCGACGTTAAACCCAATTTCACCTCACCTCACCTCACTTCTGAAGTTGGCTATTGGCAAGAGACGTACAAGTTAGGGATGGTCTTAGTGCAATAGCCTGTCGGGATTGCGAATAAGAATAGGTCCTAGGCGTGCCAGAAACATGTGTTTGTGGGTACGAATCCCCTTGTCTCCAAAGTTGTAAACATTTAATACCTGTATCACTTCGGGCTTTCCTCCCACATCAAGATGACACGCTGTTATATTGTAACTGAAATATTCTTCAAACAGATTTAATTCAAACACACTCACTAATAGAGCTCCCATATTAGTGGTCGATAGCTGGATCAATCGGATGGGTCTCAGAGAGTCTTGCCACCCGTAAAGGTCCGGGTTAGAATAGATCTTCAGCAACTCATGCTTGCCGTAAAAGGCGACTATGCTTGTCGTAAAGGCGACTAACGGGATCGGGTGGTCAGGCTCGCTGACTTGGTTGATGCATGTCATCGCATCCCAATTGCTTGGATCGATGCTCATGATGTCAAACACTGGATTGTCTTATCCAGGCTCGATTAGTTTCAGAAAGCCGTCATATAGCTGGAATATTGATGAGTGCGGTGTCAAACAACAAACGACCAAGCAAACAGAGTCTTGCAATCCACAGCGAGAGGAGTGTGTTTTAGTGATAACATCCCTGCACTGCGCATAATCTGCAGTCATCATCCGCATCATTGGATTTCATCATCCAGTAGGGTACTGTAAACGTTTAGGTGAAACGGCAGACTATGCTCGTGAGCGGCCATAAACTTTTCGAGTTCTGTGATGGGATCTAAACCACGGACCTTCTGATACGAGGTAGGACACCTTGTCCACATGATCAAAGAGCAAGCTGACAAGGTGAGGATGTCGTCTGTGGGACGGCTCCATGCCTGCTAGTCTAAGCAAGTTTTATTCAAGTATTTTGAAAAAACCCACTTTGCATTAATTTTGAACTAATCCAAATACGAAATAATTGATATTGGTAAATATGAATAGCCATTGTGGTACCATCCCCATTGATTACTTGCATCGTGGACCTGTGGTTTTCTCTCTCTATATATATATATATATATATATATATAACAGAGTGTGATCACTACGTCATTTTATATTAACCGATATTACTGACTTGCCCCGGGGTCCGTTGTTACACTATCGTCATGGCAACACCACACTCCAGCTAATCTACAAATCAAACCGATTAGTGTCGGAACGATTGAGCGCAAATACCAATTAAGGATATACCACAAGCGAGCTGATAGATATCAATTAATTATTTTGAAATCTGTAAGTTAGAGAATATTAAAAATAACAATTTTATAGATGTCACCTCCTTAGTTATGAGGGGGCACGGCTGGCCCAGTCGTCTAAGGCGCCGCGATTCGCTGTGCAGAGTTGCGTCCCTTGGGCAAGCCAGAAACCTATGATTGTGGGTTCGAATCCCGGTTTGCCCCGATTATGTTTCTAGGTTTGTCAGCACCATACCCGTGCTCGTGGGTTTCACCGAAGTGGTAAACGTTTGAGACCTGCATCACTTCGGGCTTTCCTCCCACATTAAGCTGACACGCCGTGATATAACCGGAATACTGTTAATAGGGGCGTTAAACCCAACTCACTCACTCACTCACTCACTCACTCACTCACTCACTCACTCCTTACGTTTCAGAATATATGCTTACTCATTCAGGAGAATGAATCCAAGGATGCTGGGAGCATTTTTATGTACATGTGAAAAAACAACAAAAGTAATACGATAACAAAGATGGAAAAAATAACAAGCAAAGCCAGCAGTAAATTAGCGCTGATGTTCATTAGGGAATTCTCGCATAACGCAAAATCGCTAAAACTGCATATATTACTGATGATTCCACCACTATTCTCCATCCTAATCCCTGTCATAGGAATTGCATTTTCCAGTTTTAATCAATCTCATTAAAATCAGATCTTAGTTTTCGCTACCGCTAACCAAAGATCTGAGGACATCCCATTACGGGTCACGTCAGAACGACCTTTCGCGAACATTGACCGACCAATGAAATGACTGACAAGAAATCGACATTTGCCAATCAGAAGGCAGCTATCTCGAGCTTTACGGCACTAGTTTCAAACTGGCGACTACGCTTCGAAACATATTTTGGCGTATTCTCGATTTAAAAAAAATTAAACTGACCAAAACAACATTCTGGAATGGCTTATAGATGGCCTAGATTGTATGGATATAATCATAAAACCCGTAACTGTCGTTCGGAATACCCCGTGTTAAATATCTCGAGGTTGTATTAGAAAACACATTCCGACTGTCACTTTCAGAATCTGGTAAGCGACGCTCTGATTGGTTGGATGAAAGGTCGTGCTGACGTGACCCGTAATGGGATGTCCTCAGATCTTTGTTTAGCGGTAGCGAGAACTAAGATCTGATTTTAATGAGATTGAGTTTTAATTAAAAAAAAGACAAGAAACAAGTACTTAGGTCCGTGTTTTGATACGTGTAATTTCATAACAATGTTTCAGTTGACATTTGACAATTTTACAACAATTTATGACAATCAATAAACGAAAGCACCATTGCTCGCATGTATTAATGTTTAAAACTGAAGAAGGTTCAGCACAAAAAATCTTCATCTCAAAGTTCTCAGTTCATATTTCCTCTGTTCCTGAGCACCAAGGGGCCAACGGCATCCAGGTACTGACGGGCAGTCTTCTGGCCAGTCCTTGATTGGTTCTCTTTCTCCCTGCAGACAAGCAATGGGTAAATAGAAGGCAGGGGTTAATTAGGACTGCTTGGTAATTAGCAAGTATACACCGAAATGTTGTGTTCCTCATAATAGAGAAGTTGACATCCGTAAATTCTCTCTTATGGGTATCACTTCTAAATGTCATTCAAAGACTTGATATAAAAAATCACGTTCAAAAACCATCATAACAATAATCCTTCGTGACGTAGTTGAGAGCGTGTCATCGTACCTCACAGACAGAGGTATAGACCGGTATAGGCTTCACTACTTAACACATTTTTTAGATCTTTTCACAACAAACAATTGTTTATATGGAATCAGTCAAAATCAGGCAAACCTCACAGATGTGAATTCGTGATTAAAATGTTTAGCGGGCGACACGAGGTTAGAAGTGTGAGAGTTGTCTCCCTTAGATTTCCTTCTGCTCGAGGTCGCTGTACACATTTCTGCACATTTGAAGTTTGATGGAGACTGACAGCTCTCTACAGCATCCATCATGTGGCGGACTGTATCGTTTGTTGAACGGGTGGAGGTAGAGTTTTCGGGGAACTTGCTCAATCAGGCGATGGTGCTTGGCGATGTTGATAATGATAAGGTAAGCTGCTGGTGATTGGGTGTTGACTGATATTCGGTTCAACAATACGAAAGGTCTCTGTTTATAAGAATCTGCTGTTGGCAAACACCAATATATTTAGTCCCATCTATAACTTTAATCCCATCAATGTATTGTATAACTGTCGTTGTATCAATCACATTCGAATGATAATGTTTGTAATTCTCTAAGAAACTCTTGTCACTTCAATAGGATTGGGAAAGGGTCCAATATCTTGTGTTTCTTAAAAATGCTCATCTAGCAGGGCGTGGAGTCATCCCACAGATGACATCCTTACCTTGTCAGCTTGCTGACAGGGTTAACCTCTTTGGTCATGTGGACAAGGCATCCGACCTCTGATCAGAAGGTCTGTGGTTCAAATCCCATCACGGGACTCGGACATTTTATGGCCGCTCCATTGGCGCCCAACGTGGGGCTGAGCCATTCATATTAAATTTGAGCAAAAAAAGCCTCAGTACCCTACTATGTGGCCCGGGACGTGCCTTCCGTTGACGAGGGAGTATGTAGCAGGGCGTGGAGTCAACCCACAGATGACATCCTTACCTTAATTTTTGTCAGCTTGCTTGACAGGGTTAACCTATTTGGTCATGTGGATAAGGCATTCGACCTTGGATCAGAAGGTCCGTGGTTCGAATACCATCACGGGACTCGGAAATTTTATGGCCGCTACAGACAGAACACTACATTTTACATTCTGACTGATTCCCATTTAACAAAATAATGCAGCAAGGTTATTGTTGCTGACTACTATCCTGTATGGCTACCCTGCTATGCAAAGCACTAATTTCTATTTACAGTATAATGAGCTTGTTGTTGGGAACATTGATGGAGACCTGTCAGTCTTTAAAGGCAGCAGTGTCACACCTTGGAGAAAGACTTCAGATCTTGGAATGGTTTGTAGATTAGAGTCATGGATCAAAGTAGACGATAACTTTTGCAGATATTTCAGTTTCAGGCAAGGGATCTCTAGGGGTAGTAACCATTTATTTTGTAAAGTGATTTATGTGAAACAACCACATATTTACAAAACAACTATTCTCTCTAGATTTACACAAGTCTCGGACCATTAGTGCTTATGTCTGTCCCTGTCTCTCTTTGTCTCTCTTACTGAACCCAGAGCATATAGGCAACTTAATGATACATTCACTTCTCAGCTGTAGCAGGCTATACACTTTATTCCTTTCCAGACTGAAATTAGAAGACTCGAGTGTATATATGGACATTAAAGTAACGTCTGTCACAACACTGTGCTTTATAGAATTATTTTTTTTAAATTTATACATAACTTGGAGAGGGTGGGTGGGGGGGGGGGGGGGGGATAAATGTCTCTCTTTACAATTTATCTAACCATATTATATGGATTGTTATACATGGCTATTATAATGAGTCATCTTAAAGTTGATCATGTTGAGATTAGTTTCAAATGTTCTGATTTCACCTTTTCAGATAACATGTATAGGACTGGGAGACATATGCAATAAAGGAAAGGTAATCCTTAGATATTTTAAGTTGTAGGAATTACAGAGCACAGTAAAAATGTACAGTGACTTATCTGAAGATGCAGAAACAAGAGGAAAAATATCCTTGCTGTAAAAATGAAATTGAAAGGAGATGTAAATTGGTAAAATGATAACATTTACTATTTTCTGCCCCCAATGAAGTTCCAGATTAGAATTGGTCTTCAGCAACCCATGCCTGTCTTAATAGAGGCCCAACAGAACAATGTTTTCCACAAGTTATTTGTGACGTTTATATAAACTACCATATTCACCATATTAAGGGCCCCCTACGAGGCCTTGCGAGGCCATTACCTTACTAATCCTAAGATCCGGGGTAGAATTGTTTTTCATCAACCCATGCTTGCCATATGAGGCGACTAACAGGATCAGGTGGTGACTGGTCAAACTCGCTGACTTAGTTGATGCATGTCATCATATCCAAATTGAGTAGATCGATGCTCTGGATTGTCTGGTCCAGACTCGATTATTATTTACAGAGTTGAACATTGCTGAGTGCAGTGTTATACCACTAACAAACTAGATTGTGGGACAATACCAGTGCCTCTGGGTTTCATCAAAGTGGTAAATGTCTGAGACCTGCATCATTTCTGGTTTTCTTTAAACATGAATCTGAAATGTTGGGATAACTGAAATACAAAGCAGCACTACACCCAACTCTTTCACAATTTCATTCAGTTTTGAGACATTAAACGACTTGAAATTATATTTAGTACATTTATGAATGTTGTCATCGTTACAGAACAACCTGGTTTGCCTTACGGCTGAAGGCTGGTGCTACATCTTCGACATCAGGCCAGAGGGCAGCATAGAGGTAGGTGTCTGTAGTAGACAGGTCAGAGGTAGGTGTCTGTACTAGACAGGACAGTAGTAGGTGTCTGTAGTAGACAGGTCAGAGGTAGGTGTCTGTAGTAGACAGGTCAGAGGTAGGTGTCTGTAGTAGACAGGTCAGTGGTAGGTGTCTGTAGTAGACAGGTCAGAGGTAGATGTCTGTAGTAGACAGGTCAGAGGTAGGTGTCTGTAGTAGACAGGTCAGAGGTAGGTGTCTGTAGTAGACAGGACAGTGGTAGGTGTCTGTAGTAGACAGGTGAGATGTAGTAGACAGGACAGTAGTAGGTGTCTGTAGTAGACAGGACAATGGTAGGTGTCTGTAGTAGACAGGTCAGAGGTAGGTGTCTGTAGTAGACAGGACAGTAGTAGGTGTCTGTAGTAGACAAGTCAGTGGTAGGTGTCTGTAGTAGACAGGACAGTATTAGGTGTCTGTAGTAGACAGGTCAGTAGTAGGTGTCTGTAGTATACAGGACAATGGTAGGTGTCTGTAGTAGACAGGACAGTAGTAGGTGTCTGTAGTATACAGGACAATGGTAGGTGTCTGTAGTAGACAGGACAGTAGTAGGTGTCTGTAGTAGACAGGACAATGGTAGGTGTCTGTAGTAGACAGGTCAGTGGTAGGTGTCTGTAGTAGACAGGACAGTAGTAGGTGTCTGTAGTAGACAGGTCAGAGGTAGGTGTCTGTAGTAGACAGGTCAGAGTTAGGTGTCTGTAGTAGACAGGTCAGAGGTAGGTGTCTGTAGTAGACAGCCCAGATGTAGTAGACAGGACAGTGGTAGGTATCTGTAGTAGACAGGTCAGAGGTAGGTATCTGTAGTAGACAGCCCAGATGTAGTAGACAGGACAGTGGTAGGTGTCTGTAGTAGACAGGTCAGAGGTAGGTGTCTGTAGTAGACAGGTCAGAGGTAGGTATCTGTAGTAGACAGCCCAGATGTAGTATACAGGTCAGTGGTAGGTGTCTGTAGTAGACAGGTCAGAGGTAGGTGTCTGTAGTAGACAGGTCAGAGGTAGGTGTCTGTAGTAGACAGGACAGTGGTAGGTGTCTGTAGTAGACAGGACAGATGGTCCTATGCCTACAACCAACTGTACGGTATATTGTGTTCAGGTTCTGTGTCCAGGTGTAAATGTAACTTGAGATGACATGCATGATGTCCTATAGCTGCCTGATTTCACCTGTTGACAGTTCCTGAAAGAGGATGAGAGTGATATTGACATCAGAATCCTCAAGCCTGCCTACACACAGCATCTCCCAGCAAACGGCAAGGTCATGCTCATAGCCGATACAGGTAACTGTCATAGCTGATACAGGTAACTGTCATAGCCTACACACAGCACCTCCCAGCCAACGGCAAGGTCATGCTCATAGCCGATACAGGTAACTGTCATAGCCGATACAGGTAACTGTCATAGCCTACACACAGCACCTCCCAGCCAACGGCAAGGTCATGCTCATAGCCGATACAGGTAACTGTCATAGCCTACACACAGCACCTCCCAGCCAACGGCAAGGTCATGCTCATAGCCGATACAGGTAACTGTCATAGCTGATACAGGTAACTGTCATAGCCGATACAGGTAACTGTCATAGCCGATACAGGTAACTGTCATAGCTGATACAGGTAACTGTCATAGCTGATACAGGTAACTGTCATAGCCGATACAGGTAACTGTCATAGCTGATACAGGTAACTGTCATAGCTGATACAGGTAACTGTCATAGCCGATACAGGTAACTGTCATAGCCGATACAGGTAACTGTCATAGCTGATATAGGTAACTGTCATAGCTGATATAGGTAACTGCCATAGCTGATACAGGTAACTGTCTTAGCTGATACAGGTGACTGTCATAGGTGATACATGTAACTGTCATAGCTGATACAGGTAACTGTCATAGCTGATACAGGTAACTGTCATAGCCGATACAGGTAACGGTCATAGCCGATACAGGTAACTGTCATAGCCGATACAGGTAACTGTCATAGCTGATACAGGTAACTGTCATAGCTGATACAGGTAACTGTCATAGCTGATACAGGTAACTGTCATAGCTGATACAGGTAACTGTCATAGCTGACACAGGTAACTGTCAAAGTCTGACCATGTGCAGTGATTGACATTCTAAAAAGTGTTGTCATTTCTCTACATGACACATCAGCTGTCAATGATGTATATCCCCAGTGGGTTAGTTAAATCATACATTCAAAAGGGTTTTAAAAAGTTAAAAAGTATTCCGTGGGTTTCATAACCATATAGATCCACAAGAACTTACCTATATTTCTGATTACTTGATAACTATATATTTTATATGTTTTAAAGGGCACAGAAGCTTTCATTTACCCTATTTTCTTGAGTATAGTGCACACTTTTTGTCTAAAAAACACAGCTGTGTAGAAGGGGGTGCGCATTATACACGCCATAATGACTTTTGATGTTTTGACCCAAAGAGATTACCATGAGCACGTAACACCGGAAATACCATGTCAACAAATCCGTACTGAAGTATGCAAATTAATCTTGTAATTACACTGTCTGGTTAAAAAAAGTGTTCATTGTATATCTGGACTTATGTTAGTAACTTATTTCGTTAATTTTATTCAAAGTTTCTTTTAATATTGTTTTAATTAATTTCGATGAAATCATGTGTGAAGTGATCGGAAGATCGCACATTCACCATTATTAACAGCAACTGCGGTCAGATTACCGCTATTGATGCCTTGAAACAAATTTTAGTTGACAGAGAATGGATATATATATCATAAATGCCATACTTTGACTCGTAATATAATAATTTTTTTAAAAATACTGAATTTTGCTAGAGAGGGGTGCGCATTATACTTGGGTGCGCACTATACTCAAGAAAATACAGTACTTAGCTCCATTTCATTGTGACTTACATAAGCTATCTCAGCAGTGAGATTTGTCTGAGGACTGTATTATGTTTTGCTGACGTCCCCCTAAATACATGTAACATATTTTCATGACCCTAAACCCCCCATAATAAATGAGCTGTCCAAATGTTCAAGCTTATAAAAGAAATGATTTGAAAACTTCAAACTGTGTCATGTTTTTAAGATGGCGATGGCCAAACAGAGTTGGTTGTGGGCTACTCAGACAGAGTGGTGCGGACATTCCGATGGCAGTCCGGAGTAGACAGCGACGCCTACTCCACAGGACAGTTCATACAACACCAGAAGTGGCAGTTGGCTGGCCAGGTGAGCTATACATGGACTTGGTTGTTATAAGTTCATACAACACCAGAAGTGGCAGTTGGCTGGCCAGGTGAGCTATACATAAGTGGCAGTTGGTTGGCCAGGTGAGCTATGCATGGACTTGGTTGTTATGAGTTGATACAACATTAGAAGTGGCAGTTGGCTGGCCAGGTGAGCTATGCATGGACTTGGTTGCTATGATTTCATACAACACCAGAAGTGGCAGTTGGCTGGCCAGGTGAGCTATACATGGACTTGGTTGTTATGAGTTCATACAACACCAGAAGTGGCAGCTAGCTGGCCAGGTGAGCTCTGCATGGACTTGGTTGTTATGAGTTCATACAACACCAGAAGTGGCAGTTGGCTGGCCAGGTGAGCTATACATGGACTTGGTTGTTATGAGTTCATACAATACAACAAGTGGCAGCTAGCTGGCCAGGTGAGCTATACATGAACTTGGTTGTTATGAGTTCATACAACCCCAGAAGTGGCAGCTGGCGTGCCAGGTGAGCTATGCATTGACTTGGTTGTTATGAGTTCATACAACACCAGAAGTGGCAGCTAGCTGGCCAGGTGAGCTATACATGAACTTGGTTGTTATGAGTTCATACAACCCCAGAAGTGGCAGCTGGCGTGCCAGGTGAGCTATGCATTGACTTGGTTGTTATGAGTTCATACAATACAACAAGTGGTAGCTTGCCAAATGTGATTATTATCCCCCGCCATGAAGTGGAAGGGTGATATAGGAATGGGTGCTGTCTGTCTGTCACTTATCGTTTCTGGAGCAGTACTAAAAAATCATGAGAGATATCTTAACCAAACTTGGCACATAGATAGATCAAGTGGTAAACTGGTGCCTTTTGATAGTTTGGGATTTCTGACAAATTTATTGTTCAAGTTTCCATAGCAATGACTTAGACTTAGACTGAAAATGACGCTAGTGCTCGTTCCCAGAGCAGATCTTGAAAAAACGTACAATATTTCTTGCCTTGCACACAACCGTACATGTCATTTTGGTGGAGGATATGAGTATTTCATGATTGTTTGAAGAATTCTTTGATGTCCGTCAAGGAGTAGAGCAGCCGTCATCGTATTGTTGTTGCATTATTACTCTGCTACGTAATCTGTTACCATCACTCACTCCCTGCGTAGATCGGATCAATGACAGTGAACAGTTGTGGAGAGGGCAAGCCTCAACTGCTGGCGTCCCAGCCGGGCGGAACACTGGTCACTCTGCTGCAGGGAACCAACATCAGGATGGAGCAACCCCATGTAGAACACAGGTCAGTCCATAGAACACAGGTGTGTTGTACGTAGAACATAGGTGTGTTGTACATAGAACACAGGTCAGTTATTAGAACACAGGTCAGTCCATAGAACACAGGTGTGTTGTACGTAGAACATAGGTGTGTTGTACGTAGAACACAGGTCAGTTATTAGAACACAGGTCAGTCCATAGAACACAGGTGTGTTGTACATAGAACACAGGTCAGTTATTAGAACACAGGTCAGTCCATAGAACACAGGTGTGTTGTACGTAGAACATAGGTGTGTTGTACATAGAACACAGGTCAGTTATTAGAACACAGGTCAGTCCATAGAACACAGGTGTGTTGTACGTAGAACATAGGTGTGTTGTACATAGAACACAGGTCAGTTATTAGAACACAGGTCAGTCCATAGAACAGGTGTGTTGTATGTAAAACACAGGTCAGTTAGTAGAACACAGGTGTGTTGTACGTAGAACACAGTAAGAACATACATAGAACATGGCCAGTCGTATATAGAACACAGGTCTGGTAGCTCCAACAGTCATCATGTCGTATGTCATACATCAAACTCTTCAAAAACAATCTCATTAAAATCAGATCTAATTTCCCGCTACCGCTGAACAAAGATCTGAGGACATCCCATTACGGGTCACATCAGAATGACTTTTCACGAACTTTGACTAATAACTGAACCGACTTACAAGAAGTTGATATCAGCCAATTTGAAAGCAGCTTTCTAGAGCTTTACAGCATTCGTTTCAATCTTCCATTTCAGACTACGCTTAAAAAATATGTTGACACAGTCCTCGATTAAAATTTTGAAAACTGAACAAAAGAACATTCTGGAACGTCTAATATATCTTTGTGATTGAATGGCAGTGCTTCCCACGTACTGTGCAACGCCTCACCCATTGAAATGTTTATCCCGCGGAAGCGAGAGATAGACGATAATTTTGACGGAATCAGTCGTACGGGCCGTAACTGTCGTTCGGAATACCTCGTATTAACGTTTTTGAGGTTGTATGATTAGAAAACACATTCCGACTGTCACTTTCATGATCTTGTAAGCAAAGCTTTGACTGGTCGGATGAAAGGTCGTTCTGACGTGACCCATAATGGGATGTCCTCAGATCTTTGTTTTGCATTTTGCAGCAGCAAGAACTTAGATTTGATTTTAATGAGAAAACTCAAAAAAGGACGAGTAATACGACAGCCCCGTGGTTAAAGCGTTTGCTGATCCCACCATTAACCTGGGTTCTATTCCAGTGAGGAGTCGACTCAGCAGTCCTTCGTGTACCATCCCCTGGGGTCATGCAGAGCTCGTAACAAGGAAGTGTCCACTGTCATCGTTGGGGGGATAAAACGAGAGAGAAAGCAAGAAGATGACAAAGCATCGTCTTTCTATGCCCTGGCCACTCTAGATGGTAAGTGTCAGTATAACACATGATGAAGTTAGCACTTGTAACACTTTGGTGGATGTACAAACTTTGTGTCTTAAATTTATACCAAGGTTTGCATTTGACCCCAATGACCCTATGGGGGGCACGGGTGGCCCAGTTGTCTAAGTTGCCGCGATTCGCTGTGCAGATGTGGTCCTTGGGCACGCCAGAACCCTATGATTGTGGGTTCGAATCTCGGTTCGCCCTGATTATGTTTCTAGGTTTGTCAGCACCATACCCGTGCTCATGGATTTCACCGAAGTGACCTGCATCACTTCGAACTTTCCTCCCACATTAAGCTGACACCCCGCAATATAACTGGAATACTGTTAAAAGCGCTGTTAAACCACTCACCCAATGAAGCTATGTATACTCACCCACAAGATAACGCGAATACCATGCATGTTGGCTAATAACAAGAATTACTCATATTCAAGAGATATTAGATTGGTTTGACACACAAACGAACATACTGTAATGTTGTGTGAACGTCACATTAGACGTCATAGATCCATGACCCGAGATGCATCATTTGTCGTGTACAGGATTAGTGGGTAAAGTTTGGAAATCACTTGCAGCATATCGTGATAAGAATAAAGACACTGGTAACACTAGACTGTTAGTTTTGTCATTAAGTGGTACACTTTGGAAACATCTCTTTTGACATACATACTTCTCTATATGTTTCTATGGTTCGCGTTTCTTTGGGTGGTGAGTATATATCAGTATGCCAAAATAGCATATCATAGATTAAATAAAGAAAAAAACAATCAACTTTCCTCTCCCCTAGTATCCCATAAAACCTTAACTATACTTTCTAGGACCTGTTCCACAAAGTGATCTTAGTGCTATGATTGTTAAAAGTCTGTAAGTATGGAGGTTACGATCATCTTACTACTAAGATCTCTGTGTGTAACAGGGACAGGTGGTATATTTATATCGGCAGAATGCAGAATGCCAGGTATGATCGTAGGTATATCAATATACTCCCATATTCAAAAGTGTGATCCGTGAAGATCCGGGTAGAGAATAGGTCTTCAGCAACCCATGCTTGCTGTAAGGGGCAACTACGCTTGTTGTAAGAGGCGACTAAAGTGATCGGGTCACTCACTTGGCTGGTGCATGTCATCGTATCCCAATTGCTGGATCGATGCTCATGATGTCAATCACTGGATTGTCTGGTCCATACTCAATTATTCACAGCCTCTGCTTACCGCTAGAATATTGCAGGGTGCAGGTTAAAACAAACAACAGCAAACACACAGAACCTCAACCATTTGATTGATGACCAGCGGTCAACCCCTGTGTAAAGTCCAGCCACACTTTGTTGTTCATCTTCTCAATTCAAGAGAGTGAACTGTCTGTAAAACTCCAGTTTCCACCCTTGCCGAACCAGACTGGAATTTCTGGCCTCAATCGTAGCGCCACCAGTGGCTATTACGATCTATGTCCCTTCTATGTCCCTCTGATTGACCAATCAGATTCCACCTCTCATATCACTTGCAATTGCTTCAAACAAAAAAAACGGCGCTAATTGAAGACATTCAGTTAAATAATCAAAATCTATATTGTAATAAAACAGGTCTTACTTCACGATGTGCATCTTATCAAGTGAGCACCTTGATTAAAAACAAGAAAAGATTTAGAAAAAAATATTTGTTGACGCCGAGTTGGCAGTCCACATGCTTTTACAAATCCTGCAATCAAACGATATATGCACGGCAGTTTACAAACCGGATTTTGATTTGGTAATGAGATTTTGCTTGGACTATGCATAAACTCGTTAGTCCAGCCAAGATGTAACTCCATAATTGCAGCCTAGTTTGGCAAGGGTGGAAACTGGACTTTGATAGTCAGTTAACTCCCTTGCCTCGGGAAGATGCTTGTCGTTAAGTCTGCCCTTGGCTGTGGTCTGAAGACTCGATACAATATGTCATCCTCCTTGCAGGCAGCCTGGTCCTAGTGCAGTCAGACAAGACGGAGTCGGACAAGATCGTGTGGTCACTCCAGGTGGATCATCAGCTGTTCTCTCTGCACAAACTGGACGTAACGGTCAGTGGAACAGCCGCCAGTCTGTGTGGGATTGTATCACATATTTACAAGGGCAATAGTATAACATTGAAATATCCTCCAGGATGGGGTGTAATAGTGACGAGTGTCTATTTCCAGTCAAGTAACGAAACAAGGCCATGTGTAACTCAGCCCCAGATGAATTCTGCGGCTAAAGTTGCACAATTCTACAAAAAGTCTCTTGCATTTAGACATTTCAAGACATCCAATTATGCAAATAAATATGCATAGTATCATGAATATTTGTTTATAGTTAGACACAAAAACATTTGATAATGAGATATAATTATTTCAAATTTCGTTTTATTGTGGGATATTTTGTATGTTTGAATAACATTTTAAGTGTTTGGGCGTCATTCAAAAGCAAAATTTGATAAAGAAGACTGAAAATCATGAAAATTTGTGAATTGATTGCTAAAAAAAAGCAAATTCTGTGAATTTTTCTGCAATTCTGTGGTAAGTTACGTTTTCTGCAAATATTTCCACACTTGCGGAATCGCAAAATCCGTCTAGGACTAACTCATGAAAGTCAAATTATCCCTACTTTGATTATGTTAGGTTATCGGTTATCGCAAATGTTGCATGGGAAATTGTGCCGTTTGTGCGATGTGTGGAGTAGGTGGCTGAGAAGTTTGGCACTTGTTGGAAGGGAAATATTGCTTTTTATTCAGTGTGTAGAGTGGGTGTCTGAAAGGGTGTGGCACGAATTTCATGGAAAATATGGTCATTTGTACGTTGTGTAGAGTAGCAGGCTTAAAGATATGAAACATGTTGAATGGGAAATAGTGGCTTTTGAGGGATGTAAACAGCATAAACATTTACATTTCATTCAATATATAGTCAAGTCTCGTTTATCCGACACTCGTTAATCCGACAATAGGCTTTATCCGACACAAATGATGGGAACCGATTAAATCAGTGCTGTTTAGACCTGTTAATCCGACAGTCTCGCACTCCGACTCCGACACACCTAATTTGCAACGATTTGCTGTAATCACTCATTAATAAGTCTCGTTAATCTGACACAGTGATCAGCGTACTCCATGGTCAACTGCCCGCGAGTACACAGCCCCGTGTTTTGATGCGAGACGAGTCGGCGAGTAGCTGCATATTTAAACGGCTGCAGAGATAAACTTTGTGTTTTGTGTTAAACTTTAGAGGTTGCATGATTAGAAAACATATTTCGCGAACAATGTAACACAACAATATGAATATTTCCTTTTTCCTTTTTTTATTACAACATGTTTGAATCGTTATCTATCGTGTAGTTGTCCAATTTTCGATAACAAACGTTGATAATACCTAATTTCGTTTTTATCCGACATACTCGTTAATCCGACATAATCATATGCAACCAACAATGTCGGATTAACGGGACTTGACTGTATATGCTGCCAAAAGCATCACATCTACAACCGTTACTCTGATATATGCTTCTTCTCTAAGAAGAGTGAAAAATGTATGACAATATTTACGCGTGAAATGGATAGTCATAATTGGGTCATGTCTTAGAAGACAATAATTTTTCAATATGGGTGCTATTTGGTCCTGTTGTCGTTATTGTAGAGCATGTTGCTATGGTAACCTTAGCAGAGTCTGTATGACAGATTATGTTTGTGTTACCGTGGAGATCGTGATGTAGAATGTGTTTTCTTGTGACTAGGGTAACAACCGTGAGGAGGTTGTGTGTTGTTCTTGGGATGGACAGACGTATATCGTCAACCACAGTCGAGAGGTGGTCAGGTACCAGTTCGAGGAAAATGTCGCCGCCTTCTCTGCAGGTAGGTCTTCAAATATTGTAACAGTTGTGAAATTTCACAAGCTTTCTTCTATGGAACATTCGTTTTAAGGTTTGGGTGCACGAGTGGCCCTGTCATCTAATGCGCCACAATTTGCTGTACAGAGTTGCGTCCCTTGGACACACCCGAAACCTATGATTGTGGGTTCGAATCCCAGTTTGCCCTGATCATGATTTTAGGCTTGTCAGCACCATTCCCATGTTCGTGGATTTCACCAAAGTGGTAAACGTCTGAGACCTGCAATACTCCCGGCATTCCTCCCACATTAGGGGCGGTCAGGTAGCCTAGTGGTTAAAGAGTTCGCTCGTCACGCCGAAGACCCAGGTTCGATTCCCGACATGGGTACAATGTGTGAAGCCCATTTCTGGTGTCCCCCGCCGTGATATTGCTGGAATATAGCTAAAATTGGCGTAAAACCATACTCACTCACTCCTCCCACATTAAGCTGACAAGCCGAGATATAACTGGAATACTGTTCAAAGCAGCGTTAAATCCAATTCACTCACTTGAGAATGTTTGAGCTGTGCACATCATTAAAAGATAAATTAGTGCAATGAATACATGTTATTTAATTGCAATTATGTACCCATGAAAGATTTTGAAGTTTTGTCAGCTAATTCTTTATGATGTACAAAGGTTAAGTGAATACAGGGTAGGATTATGTTAGCACATGAATACAGGGTAGGATTATGTTAGCACATGAATACAGGGTAGGATTATGTTAGCACATGAATACAGGGTAGGATTATGTTAGCACTGAATACAGGGTAGGATTATGTTAGCACATGAATACAGGGTATGATTAGGTTAGCACATGAATACAGGGTAGGATTAAGTTAGCACATGAATACAGGGTAGGATTATGTTAGCACATGAATACAGGGTAGGATTATGTTAGCACATGAATACAGGGTAGGATTATGTTAGCACATGAATACAGGGTAGTATTATGTTAGCACATGAATACAGGATAGGATTAGGTTAGCACATGAATACAGGGTAGGATTATGTTAGCACATGAATACAGGATAGGATTATGTTAGCACATGAATACAGGGTAGGATTAGGTTAGCACATGAATACAGGGTAGGATTAGGTTAGCACATGAATACAGGATAGGATTTTGTTAGCACATGAATACAGGGTAGGATTATGTTAGCACATGAATACAGGGTAGGATTATGTTAGCACATGAATACAGGGTAGGATTATGTTAGCACATGAATACAGGGTAGGATTATGTTAGCACATGAATACAGGGTAGGATTATGTTAGCACATGAATACAGGGTAGGATTATGTAAGCACATGAATACAGGGTAGAATTATGTTAGCACATGAATACAGGGTAGGATTATGTTAGCACATGAATACAGGGTAGGATTATGTAAGCACATGAATACAGGGTAGGATTATGTAAGCACATGAATACAGGGTAGGATTATGTTAGCACATGAATGCATGGTAGGATTATGTTCAAGAGCCTTCAGACATGCAGAGATATATTTAATAGGACTTGACAAGTCTAATGTGTCATTTCAAGCAAAGATAATGAAGACTTAGCAACAGAAGAGTATTAGCATTTGTTTTAAGTAGCACTCTGTTCCGCACGTTTCAGGTTTCTTTGCTTTACCGGACCAAGGCAACGTGCCATGTTTTGTGTACGCAACATTCAACAACCGCATCTACATCTACTACAACATCAACCTCCCCGAGGTGGAGTCCACCAACCTGCTCACCGTCATGGGCCGGAGGGACGACACGCGGCAGCTGCTGGCCAGACTGAACATAGATCGTACGTCCATGTTTATAACGTCCCTGACAACGCTTGTGTGTTTGTTGTGATCCATCTTAGGCAAGGGTGTGAACTGACTGTGATAGTCCAGTTTCCACCATTGTCAAACTAGGCTGGAATTTCTTGGCTCGTTTGTAGCGCCACCAGTGGCTATAACAAGTTATGTCCCATCCTTTTGACCAATCAGATTCCTCCTCTCACATCACTTGCATTTTATTCAAACAAATGGCAACACCCATTGAAGAAGATCTGATCGATAATCAAAATCTATATTGGGATAAAAGGGACCTTATTTCGTGAAGTGCAACAAATCATGTGAGCACCTTGATTAAAAATATGAAAAGTTCGGAAAATATCTGTTGACGCTAAGTTGACAGTACACATGCATTGCAAATCCTGCAATCAACCAAAATCTGAAAGCCAGTTCACGAACCGGATGTTGATTTTGATTGGACTATGAATAGGCTTGTTAGTCAAGTGAGTGAGTGAGTATTGTTTTACGCCGCTTTTAGCAATATTCCAGCAATATCACGGCGGGGGACACCAGAAATGGGCTGTACCTATGTCAGGGAATCGAACCCGGGTCTTCAGCGTGACGAGCGAACCACTCTAACCACTAGGCTACCCGACTGCCCGCTTGTTAGTCAAGCCAAAATATATGAAAAATACATTTTCATGTACAGCTCCAAATCTCTGTCATCTAATACATCTATTCAGCATGATTCATTATCTGAGCCACAGCTAAAGAATGCATGCCTGGCAAGAGATCAGATTTGATCCTGCTGACTAAGTGCTGAAATGTGTACAGAGTTGTTTCCCTTAGATCTACAAGTGGAGGCTTCAAATCCGAGATATCAAAGAATGTTGTTCTTGGTCTGTCAGCACCAAGCTCTTGCTTATAAAGTTGTAAGACCGCCTCCGTGGTCTTGTGGTAGAGCGTGCGCCCGGAGAGCGGAAGGTCCAGGGTTCGATCCCGGGCCGCGTCATACAAAAAGACGTTAAAAGATTGTACTTGTTGTTACCCTGTCTGGCGCTCGGCATTAAGGGGCTAAAACAAGGACTGGTCGGCTCGGAGTCAGTATACTGTGTCTGAGTGGGGTATTCATGTTAAACTGCGGCATGGTATCTCAGTGAGCTAGCACTATAAATCAGCTTCAGTCCGGACTAGTACAAGCAGCCACACACACACATACACGTGCATGCACGTCGCTATATAAGTGCAATAATCTTGGACGCGACGTTAAACCCAATTTCACCTCACCTCACCTATAAAGTTGTAGGTCCGGGATAGTATAGATCCCCAGCAACCTATGCCGGTTGTATCAGGCGACTAAATAGATCAGGTGGTCAGACTCCATTATTTTCTGGCCACTGTCATGTAGCTGGAATATTACTGAGTGCGGCATTAAACAACAAACACACACATCATGTTTTAAATTTGTGATGTCCTGAGCAATGTATGATGTCATATGATTGTCCTCGTCAATACTGCAGTATGATGGTATATTGATTCAAGTAACCAATCAACTTCCACTTTTAAAATACACATTTCCAAATATTCCCAAGTTTTTTGTTTCAACCCTTGTTGTTGATATTGTAGGTTTCTGGTGAATGTTTCAGCCAATATTACCAAAGTTTTTTGTTTCAACCCTTGTTGATGATATTGTAGGTTTCTGGTGAATGTTTCAGCCAAAATTCCCAAAGTTTTTTGTTTCAACCCTTGTTGATGATATTGTATGTTTCTGGTGAATTTTTCAGCCAATATTCCCAAAGTTTTTTGTTTCAACCCTTGTAGATGATATTGTATGTTTCTGGTGAATGTTTCAGCCAAGCGGTCAGACCAGCTGCGGCAGCTGTACCACTGGGTGCTGTACGGCTTCCACGGCAAGACATAACCGCCGGAGTGGACTACATCAAGCAGGGGAAGGTCCGGGACTGTGGATGCTTACTGATGATATTAAGTTGCCGTGACATCAGTTTGTCCAGTAACACTGTATGAGTGATCCGACACAATGGAAACATGAAGATGTGGATATGATTCTGTGGACAAATCTGAAGCCGACGCCATGTTTTCTGTCTTGCCACTAATGCCCAGTATGGATTACAGGATGATCTAGTTATATGTACAGAATGTTATATCTTTAGCACCCTGTGGGGATACTGGATAAGAATACCGTATTCAATGTAATAAGCGCCCAGGGCGCTCTCAAAAGTAAAAATAGGGGGCTCTTATTAGAATATTATGTAACTATTATGTAAAAAACAGAGTTGAAAGATAAATTTCGTGGTTTATAGTGACAGCCTGAAATGTTTATGTACGACAGATATATTTTTCCAGAATTTAATTGCCCATAATTAAGGGCATGTATTATATTAGTATTATGTCGCGAGTGTGTATTATACGCGAATAAATAAGTCTTGTGTACATTGATCAATCCGAAGGGGTGCTAATTGGGATTGTTCACTAGCCAATATATCAGCAAATATCACCGTGGGCGCTTATTACGTCGAATACGGTATGTCTTTATGATTGTCCTAAGATGTGACTAATGAGTGAGTGAGTGAGTGAGTTGGGTTTAACGCTGCTTTGAACAGTATTCCAGTTATATCGCGGCGTGTCAGCTTAATGTGGGAGGAAAGCCCGAAGTGATGCAGGTCTCAGACTTTTACCACTTCGGTGAAACCCATGAGCACGGGTATGGAGCTGACAAACCTAGAAATATAATCGGGGCGAACCAGGATTCGAACCCACAATCATAGGTTTCTGGCGTGCACAAGGGACGCAACTCTGCAAAGTGAATCGCGGCACCTTAGACAACTGGGCCACCCGTGCCCCCCTGTGACTAATTAGTTCAGGTGGTCATTCTTGTTGACTTGGGGTCATACCCCAATGTCGTGGGACGTTGTTCATAATAATCTGGACAACTGGATTGTCTGGTCCAGGCTTGATTGTTTACAGCCACCGTCATAGCTGGAATATTGCTGACTGTGGGGTTGACAGCATTTACTCACTACAGCCAACGTCAAATAGCTGGACCAGGAAAAAGGTTGTCAAGTTTCACTGTCTTCACCGGTAACCTGTCGTGTTGACTTCACGTGAGACTGATGGTAGATTTGACTTCATGTGAGACAGTAGTAGACCAGAGTGAGTGAGTGAGTTTGCTTTTATGCCGCTTTTAGCAATATTCCAGCAATATCACAGCAGGGGACACCAGAAATGGGCTTCACACATTGTACCCATGTCGGGAATCGAACCCGGGACTTCGGCGTGACAAGCGAATGCTTTAACCACTAGGCTACCCGACCGCCCCTAGTTGACCAGGAAACAGGTTGTCAAGTCTTCACCAGTAACCTGGTACTACCTCTGTCTACCCTAGGATAGACTTTGGATTTACTTCACTAATGTAATGTTATCAAACCTGCTGTGAGTCAGTACATCATGGCCATGGAAATGTATATTGAAATGTGCTCAATATAACAGTGATTGATGAAGTAGGAAATGCACAGTTTGTCAAGAGAGATATGATTGTGCATCGTTTGTATGCTGTACATATATAAATAAAACACCAAAACATATTTGACTTATTTTTAGCTCATCTTGTCAATATGAGCTTATGTAGTGAGCCTTTCCGTCCCTCTGTCCCCTGTGGTTAGACCTGTGAAGTTAAAAAAACTCATCTTCTTCAAACCTACAGGACAAAGGAGTTGACAAATTCAAAATGGCTGCCACTTCTCTCTAGGATAACTTGTTTTAAGAATGTTTTCAGGGGATTTTACAAGATACGTTTTTACAATTAATAAAGTTATGATATTGTAAAATTCACAACAGCTGTTGTGACATCAACTTAGAGTGATTGTATTTAGTTATTTGGTTAAACAAAAAAAATCAAAAATCATGCAAAAGTAAGTTGTGAAATCTGTTAACAATCTCACAAGTTCAATGTGCAATTTTCAAATTATATTGAAACACAAATCACAAAAGGCAACACGATGGGTCAAATGGGTCACAACAGCAATAGACCCGTGAAGATTCCGGGGTAGAACAGGTCTTCAGCAACCCATACTTGCCGTAAAAGGTGACTGTGCTTGTCGTAAAAGGCGACTAACGGGATCGGGTGGTCAGGCTCGCTGACTTGGTTGATGCATGTCATCGATCCCAATTAGGTGGCTCGATGCTCATGATAACAATCAGTGGATTGTCTGGTCCAGACTCGATTATTTACAGACCGCCGTCATATCGCTGGAATATTGCTGAGTGCAGCGTTAAACATCAAACCAACCAACCACAACAGCAATAAGAGACAGGACCTGTACTAAATGTCTGTGCACTAACAAATATCCAGAATTTTTCACTGTCGAATGTGTTGAAACCGCCCGTCTCTTTTCCTGAATGCAGAAAAAGTGTTGGAAGCTGGTAGGTAACACATTCGCCCTTGGCAGGTAGATAAAACACACCCTTAGATTGTGAAAGTCCACAAATTGCCCTTGTGTTGCTCTTATACACGTACAGCCAGCCTTCTAGAAACTGTCCCATCATGGAACATCTCTGATGATCAAGGCGGCCACGTTTGTCACAACAGCCATAGGCAGTAACTCTAGCACTTGACATTTTACTAGCGCTTCAATCGTTTGCTGTCAATGGCTGTTTCTACAAATAAACTTCCAATAAGTTTTGAATTGTTATATCTCCGCAGGCTGTAAGTTTGGTCAGGGCCCACTTGCACAAAGCGATCTTAGCGCTAAGATGATCGTAACTCCCATACTTAACATAGGCTTACAATAGTCGTAGAGCTAAGATCGCTTTGTGCAAGTGGGCCCTGGTGGTTGATGGCATGAGGTGCAATGCACCTGATTCTGTGTCAGTCCTTGTCTCTTCTGTCAAGCATCTACTATCAGGGACGTATTCTACTCCAGGTCCCCATGATTTTATGTATATGTCTGTATATAGGGTATAAAATAGTAGTACTATGAAACTGAACTCTCTGGAAACTACCAATTTCTGTGATGTCGGGGGGAGGGGGGTATACAAGTGGCCAAGTCGTCAAAGGCGACACCGTGTACAGATTTGCACGCCAGAAATAAATTATTTTGGTGTTCAAATCCCGGTTCGTCTCGATTGTTTCCAGGTTTTTCAGCGCCATTCTCGTGGGTTTAACCAAACTGGTAAATATCTAAGACCTGGTCCACTACGACATGTCATGGTTAAAACTGGAATACCTTACTTTGCACACAAAACAGAAACGTAAAAGTGATTTTCGATGTACATTTTATCTATCATATAAATACACAAAAGGTGGCGATCGATTGTTCAAAATTTACACACATCATTCTCGTTGACCCAGGTTCCATATGGCACACACGAAACAGTAGATTTTCAAGGTGAAGGTCATCTGTTCTCAATAATTTATATGGCCACCATTAGAGTCCAAAAATGACTGGCATCTTCATCCCATGGAAGCAATCAGATCCCAAATTGTAGCCTGGGAAATGTTCACCCACTCTGCAGTGCCTTGTGCCAACTGTCGGAGGTTCTGTGGTTGGTTGTTGCTGACGTGCTCGCAGACGTTGAATCAGTGCATCCCATCACTGGTCGATTGGGTATAAATCTGGAGACCTGGAGGGACATGGCAGGACCTGTATGTTGTGATTCCTGAAAAAGGCTGTTGTCAGTCTTGCCGTGTGAGGTCGGGCGTTGTTTTGTGTGGAAAATGACGTTCGCTTGTTGCATAATGGGAAGGACGTGTGGCCGAAGTCTTGGCACCAAGTCTGTTCCACCAGTGTAGGAGATGTCCGCCCACATCATCACACTACCACCGCCAAATGTGTTCACTTCCTGTATGCAGTTTCGTGCATAACGTTCCCCGCCACGCCTGTGAACACGACGTCTACCATCCGCACATATAACAATTGTTACATTACTAGCTCTGTTATGCATGCCTGTAAAGATGCGAGAGTGATCTCCCTTATATCATTGACCATGTGGAGGCTGTATACTCAACACACAGCACAATAAAACTACTGTCTTCAAACTATATAGATTCTACATTGTGGTATATTGAGAAGATGTAACACATATGTGCATAAGTAAATGTTTGCACTACGGCTGCCGCAGCCAATTTGCTTTTCAGTTGTTCGTTGGCGGACTTGGAACCGTCTAAGGTCCTGAGAATAAAACCGTACGAATGAGTCATTCGTTTCAGTTCCTGTTAAAAGTCAATATACCGGAAGTAAGGGTATTTCGTGAATGTGGGTATTACACATGACAGGGGTATTATTCTGTTTATCGGATAGAATGGGTCTGGCCCAAATTCACTTTCTAAAATAGAAATACCCTTGACTATCCGAGTTGCACTATTCAAATACGGAAACTTAGGTTTTTATTGATCAGTGACTTGAACACGAGATTTATGACATGAACGGTGCACCATACTTCTCGTGAATTCATTTGCAGTGTATCAGTTACTAAATTTAATCCTCAAGCCTGAACGACCTCTTAAATACAGCAACAGAAAAACATGCAGATTAGACGAACAGCACGTAACAGTCATTATAATCGCGGAGGTGCATCCGGTTTATAACACGGTGACGTCACGTGTATGTATAGCTCTATAAAACCTTGTTTCGCTCCTGTGACAATGATTGCGTGTGGATAGGGGCCATTATATAGAGGACCGTCATTGGTCAGCTTGCGTAGTGATACATCTAGCCCTGCTCCAAGGCTGTACTGAAAGATATGTCTATGGATGTTTAGTGATCCTTTCCTCCTAATAGGCAAGTCTAGATATGAGGACAGTACGGACTCGTCACTCCAGTCTCTTACAGGACAACTTGTGTGATTTAAACTAATAATTATTGCCTTTGAGACTTGTGCAAGTCTATGGCACAGCTGGAGTGGTTACATTGTCAAACGGTAAGTACTCGCGTCAGGTTGCACTACATGGTGTCATTACATATCCTTCATGCCTAGAAAATGGCGACTAGACAGAAACGGTTCGAGGACAAGTTTGGATTAGGTGAAGCTGGTGATACGGAAGCTAAATTTGACAAACGGACTCTTGCCATTGCATGGGACGTCGTGAACGGCAAGTACGACATCTACAACCACCCACAGCTACAACAAGAGGGTGATATAGACTGGCTGTTTTTCATCGTCGTCAAAGACAAACAATCAGCGTTGTGGGCCATTAGGGACAGCGAGTTGAGTCGAGTTCAAGATATAGTCGCGAACGGGGATGTGTGGCCATGCGATCTCGAATCTTCCCTGGAAGAAAACTGCTTGATCCGAAGATATCACGTTGTCTACAGCCAAGACTCCGACTCCTACTTTGTCAGATCCGACAACCTTACTCTGACGTCACCGAAGTATGACGTATGCTTGTATGTTGGAACGCTGACGATCTCGGAGCGAGCTTTGGATGTTTTGATGGCGTCTCTGGCTGACAAAACCTATCTTCTATTGGTGTCAGATTGTTTGGAATACTGTAAAACGTTTGTGTACAAATATTTTGAAATGACTAGCAATACTATGGACAAAGAACAAAAAGAATTGCTTGAGAAATTGACAGTAATGACAATATTTATGTCTCAGCTCAGCGAGAGAAGCGGACGAAAATACTATTTGTCTGGAACAGTAATCCGTAGTTTTATTATGTCATCCCCTGGTCAGGTTGTCCTTGCTTCCGCCTTGTCAAGTCTCGTGATGGTGTTTTTGATGAGGCGCTTCATGGAGTAGGCCTACTCCAGTTTATATTTCAAACTTTTACACCATGTACGGTACCTGTTCAGTGACAGTACCAGGGAACAATATTGAAATCAGTATTCTTTTGGAATCCATGGAAAAAGTAATATTTTTGTTGACAAAAAAATTAAAAAGAAAATGTACCGGGCTCATCTGTCTGGACCCTCAATGATTCCAGGAAAACTTGACTCGTCAACTGGTGGTGTTTTCAAGAGGCCGGAATCTATTAATAGTTTTGGGATTTCCAATAAAAAGGATGTGTGTCGATGTATTTTAATGTGCACATTATTAAAGGAAGACTTTATAACAGTAACCTCCCGTGTTCCATATTTGAAAGGCGTGTAACAAGTATTCCTAAGAGACAAGTAGTTTTTTACAATAAGGTAAGATGTCTTTCACTCAACCCAACCGCACATCACCCGCACGACTCGTATGCCAGCAGCTGGCAACCATAGGTCACACTGACCTTGTTAAGACAGGTCACCCCGTTTTTGGCACTGGTATAATCATATCATAGAAACGTGTCATAGATTAACACTGTTTAAACAGGAGTTTCCAACCTTAAAATGGCATGATTTTATAACGAGGTTGCAACGGAAACAAACACCCTCATTATAGCAACAAGCTCACATTCATACGCTCTGCTCCTATGATGTGTGTTATTGATCATACATATGATTCGATGGAATAAGTCTTCAGCAACCCATGCTTGCAGTAAAAGGCCACTATACTTGTCGTAAAAGGCGACTAACGGGATCGGGTGGTCAGGCTCGCATGGTTCATGCATGTCACCATATCCCAACTGCGTGGATCGATGCTCAAGATGCTAATCACTGGATTGTCTGGTCCAGACTCGATTATTTACAGACCGCCGTCATATTGCTGGAATACTGTTGAGTGTGGCGTTCAACAACAAACAAACAAACAAACAAAGATATGAGTCGGTGGTAAATCCGGGGTTGGGGGTGGAAGTTGGTCCAGAAAGCCACAGAGAGACCTTTACTCTCGCAACGGGGGTTTGTTGTATCAGTTATGTGTATTTCCATTTATGTCTAATACGGCGAAAATATATGTTTAATTTATGTTTAGGAGGCCATAGGCCCATGTACATTTCAGTTAGGTATAGTAACACACAATTGAGGCAATTTACATTGAAAACAATTCTTAGGGCACAGTATTGGGTCTTTGTACGTAATAATAGAGCTTCCTTCACATACTTACCTACATTTCTGAGGTGAGGTGAGGTGAAATGGGGTTTAACGTCGCGTCCAAGATTATTGCACTTATATAGCGACGTGCATGCACGTGTATGTGTTTGTGTGTTTGTCTGGCTGCTTGTACTAGTCCGGACTGATGCCGATTTATAGTGCTAGCTCACTGAGATACCATGCCGCAGTTGAACATGAATACCCCACTCAGACACAGTATACTGACTCCGAGCCGACCAGTCCTTGTTTTAGCCCCTTAATGCCGAGCGCCAGATAGGGTAACAACAAGTACAATCTTTTAATGTCTTTTGGTATGACGCGGTCGGGGATCGAACCCCGGACCTTCCGCTCTCCGGGCGGACGCTCTACCACTAGACCACGGAGGAGGTTACATTTCTGAGTATACAGTCATTTTGGCTATTTAAGAAATTGCCAAAAGTATTAATACATGGATTGTTATAAAATCTTAAAACAACGGTAACTTACTCCATTTATGTTGATGTACATGTCATATAGTTGAAATCAAGTGTGTGTGGTGTATGTGTGTGTGTGCGTGCGTGCTTGTGGTGTGTGTGCGTGCGTGTGGTGTGTGTGTGTGCGTGCGTGCGTGCGTGTGTGTATGTGTGTGTGTGTGTGTGTGTGTGCTAGGTTACATACTGAACAAAATCAGCTTGGGATCATTAAATATTTTTAGATGTGAAATAAGAAATTGTGTGCTCAGTCTAATTCCCTAAAAACTTTATCCCTTTTTTAGGTCGGTATATCTACATGTACACTTCCTGAGTCATGCAGTCTGCATTCAAAACGATTTAAATATTTGGTTTCGTATTACAGATCCGTGATCCTAGCGCCAGTCACCGAAAGAAGGAGTTGCTCCCCCGGGTCTGAGTCAAGATAACAACACACGATATCAGTTGACACACCTACAGGCTCCGAGTGTAAATTTACTTGTGTCGATTAATTTCTCGGGAAGAATTTTCACGGAAACAGCCGACAAAAACCGACTGTGTTTACCAATTTGACATGGCGGGAAAACAAAACCTTCGCAAGAAACAGCTTGAGGAGAAGCTTGGGTTACGACAAGGTGACCAAATCCATAGCAACTTTGACCGTAGTATTATGAAGATAACTTGGGACATCCTGCAAGGTCGGCATAGTGTATTTGACCACCCGGACCTAGAGGATGAACCTGATGCAGAATGGGTATACTTTCTGGTCGTCCACAACACCCACGCTGCAGTTTGGGCCGTCACGGACCGATATTTGAAAAATGTTGAAGGCCTGGTCTCTAAACGTTATGTCACAAATGTAGATATAAAAGAATACATACAACCAAGCTGCAGTATTAGGAGATACCACGTGGTTTACGACGCCCAATCAGATCGCTTCTATGTTCAGGTTGACAGCCTCGTTCTGAGCTCCCCGGTCTATGACTCATGCTTATATATTGGCACGCTGACGATTCCAAGGCTTTCGCTTGACGTCATCATGGCGACATTGGCAGAAAAAACGTATCTTCTGTTAGCGTCTGACTGTCTTGAATATTGCAAGCAGTTTGTTAGACTTTACTTTGAGCTCATTGAGGAGGAGATGACGAGCGAACAGAGGGATGTGATCGACGCGTTGACGGTGACAACGAGCTACGTGTCCCAAGCTAGTGAACGAAGCGGACGGCGAAACAGGTCTTCGGGGTTTTCCCTGAGGAGCGTATTGACATCGACTTTCTTTCACACATTCGTTGCAGTCTCCGCTTCAAATGTTTTACTGTTATTTCTTTGGAGATTTTTGAAAAAGTGAAGACACCATTGAAGGTTCCATCATTTTTTATTCATAGTTGAACCGCTTACATTCTGTGGTGGATTTGCCCCTAATACCTTTCTTGTTGATTTACGGATTTTTCAAGCCAGTGGTCGAAAAAAACCACTTTCAATTTTGTTTGTCTTTTGTTTAAACATACAGTCGGTAGGTATTAAAAAAGTATGGATAATAATTCAGGGTCATAGGCCAAGATCCTAAACAATTATTAACAAAATGCTGTCGTGGTGAGTTAAATATCTTGTGCCGGGACATGCATAAAAACAGTTTGTGATATTTTTTATTGCTAAATGGGGTTTTCAGACCCGGCAGTTAAAAAAGAAAACTCTAAAATGAGAATTTTAATTTAATTTTCTTATTTTTACGGTCGGCGGGTCCGTAAACCGATTAATAAAAAAACATTCGTAACGAAAGTGTTGACAGTGAGCACAGATTTGTCGGAATTATACAACAAAAGTAAAAAAAGATGAGTAACGGGTGAAGTATTTGTATCTGATGTCTACACGACATCCCGTGTTACTGTTATAGTGAAGAAATACATATTTTCTGATTTATACTAGAATCTATTTGCACTTCAGTATTTCTAAGACATTTGTGTTATAGAAGTCAACAAGTCGTTTATTTTAAATTTATTGTCTGTTTAGTCACCTTAACAGTAAATTACTTCCTTCTGTAATACCATCTTCCCAAGGCGACCGCCTCCGTGGTCTAGTGGTGGAGAGTCCACCCAGAGAGCGGAAGGTCGGGGATTCAAACACCGGCAGTGTCATGATACAAGACGTTAAAATATGGTACTTGTTGTTACCCTGCCTGGTGCTGGGCATTAAGGGGCTAAAACAAGCTCGGAGTCAGTATACTGTGTCTGAGAGGGGTCTTCATGTTAAACTGCAGCATGGTATCTCAGTGGGCTGGCACTATAAAATCGGCATTAGTCAGGACTAGCGAGTGAGTGAGTACTTCCAGTAAGATCTGCTTCCAAGGTATGAATCCGTGACAGTATTCTCGAGCCATGTGTTTTTGAGTGAGTGAGTGAGTGAGTATGGTTTTACGCCGCTTTTAGCAATATCACGGCAGGGGACACCCGGGTCTTCGGCGTGAAGAGCGAACGCTTTAACCACTAGGCTACTCGACCGCCCAAGTCCGGACATGTACAAGCCGCCACACACACACTTGCAGGCATGTCGCTATGTAAGTGCAATAATCTTGAACGCCACGTTAAACCCCACTTCGCCTCACCTCCCAGTACTATAGTTTTTGTGGTTATCAATTACAGTACTGTAGCAACTGTTATTAATGCAATTAAAATACTGAACATTTGCATCATTCTCTGTTTTCTTTAGTCAAGAGTCGCATCTTACACAAGACATTTAATTCTCTTCGACAACTGAATCTTGACGTGAATGACACCTTATTGTTGGACAGATATGGTCGCAAACCATCTTCCCGAGTCAAAAGTGAGAAGTGAGTGAGTATGGTTTTACGCCGTTTTTAGCAATATTCCAGCAATATCACGTTGGTTGGTTGGTTTGTTGTTTAACGCCGCACTCAGCAACAATCCAGCTATATGACGGCGGTCTGTAAATAATCGAGTCTGGATCAGACAATCCACTGATTGATATCATGAACATCGATCCACGCAATTGGAATCGATGACATGTATCAACCAAGTCAGCGAGTCTGACCACCCGATCCCGTTAGTCGCCTTTAACGACAAGCATAGTCACCTTTTACGGCAAGCATGGGTTGCTTAAGACCTATTCTACCCCGGAATCTTCAATATCACGGCGAGGAACACCAGCAATGGGCTTCACACTTTGTACCCATGTCGGGAATCGAACCTGGGTCTTCGGCGTGACGAGCGAACGTTTTAACCACTAGGCTACCCGACCGCCCCTCCCAGGCAAAGGAGTAGACTGACAATAAAAGCCCCATGGAAAGTAGACTTTTATAGTCAGTTAACGCGGAAACATGGTGAATACTTGCTTGACAATTGTCCAGACAATCCCCTTACTGACTGTCAACTCCGATACATCTATCTATATTGATCAAAACAAAGTTAGGGATCACTCGATTGACCGGTGAAGATCCGGGGTAGAATAGGTCTTCAGCAACCCATGCTTGTCGTTAGACGCGACTAACGGGATCAGGTGGTCATACTCGCTGATTTGGTTATAGCATGTCATCTATCCCAATTGCGTCGATCGATGCTCATGGTGTCAATCAATGGATCGTCTGGTCCAGACTCGATTATTTATAGACCGCCGTCAAAAAGCTTGAATGTTGCTGAGTAAGGCATTAAACAATAAACAAACTTCTCTCGATCACGTGACGAGCGCTGAGCACCACTTCAGCAACAAATGGTCGTGAGACAGAATTAAGATCGAGCTGCGGTTGTTTACGCGCTGATGGTATTCGCTCCAGACGACAAGTTCGAGGTGTCATTTAGACGGACCTGCATCGTCGGCTGCGACTGCGATGGAGACAAGTTTGGTTTAGTGATGACTTACGTTATATGCTTCGCCGGGCGGTTGGTGGACGTCGTGATTACAGGCGTCGCGGGGAATGTGACGCACGAAGCTGCATACAGGAAGTGGACAGTTTTGGTGGTAGTTGCGTGACGATATGGGAAGTAATCTCCTACAGTGGTAGAACAGACCTGGTGCACATTCTGGGGCATTTAACGGCAAGTTACACGGATGAGATTCTTCGCCCACACGTCCTTCCCATCATGCAACATACGAACGTAATGCCGAGCGACAGACAGGGTAACAACAAGTAACATCTTTTGGTATGACGCTAACGGGGATTGAACACCGAACCTTCCGCTCTACCACTAGACTAATTAGGCGGTCTCACACGGCAAGACTGACAATAGCATTTATTAGGAATCACAACATCCGGGTCCTGCCATGGCCCTCCGGATCTCCAGTTTTAAACACAATCGAGCATTTTTGGGATGCACTGGATCAATGACTGCGGCACATCAGAAACAGGTAGAGTACTGCAAGTACTGCAGGTAGAGTTAGTAAACATTCACAGGCCACAATTCGGGATCTGATTGCTTCCAAGGGCTAGGGGACACGGGTGGCCCAGTCGTCTAAGGCGCCTCGATTCGCTGTGCAGAGTCGCGTCCCTTGGGCACGCCAGAAACCTATGATTGTGGGTTCGAATCCCGGTTCGCCCAAATTATGTTTCTAGGTTTGTCAGCACCATACCCGTGCTCGTGGGTTTCACCGAAGTGGTTAACGTCTGAGACCTGCATCACTTCGGGCTTTCCTCCCACATTAAGCTGACACGCCATATGACTGGAATAATGTTAAAAGCAGCGTTAAAACCAACTCACTCCAAGGGCTAAAGATTCCAGTCATGGTGGCCATAAAAGAATTGAGAACAGATGGCCATCTTGAAAATCTATTGTTCCATGCGTGTTCATATGTTTGCCAGTTTTAAACATTTGATTAGTTATTATTTTTATAATATGTTAAATATACATCTAAAATCACCTTTGCAATCTTTTTTTGTCGAGTGTATATTCATGCCTCAGAAACTGAAAATAACATACCATGTTTCACAACCTGAAAAATGATTTTGATCTTTGACTTACACAAAAACATTTTCAAAGCTGGGCCAATTAAATGAAGGAACATACAGTTTGAGAAAGTGTAAACAAATATCTTAAGAGATACTTTAAATCTTGTGACCTTGACCTTTCACTTTCCCAAAAGGTACTAAAAGAACTCCCAAATTTCATGTCAAACAACTTCCCAAGGCAAGGGAGTTAGTCCAGTTTCCATCATTGTCGAATTTTTTGGCTTGATCTTGGCGCAACCAGTGGCTATTACACATCATGTCCCTTCTGCGCTCCTACAACTGACCAATCAGATTCCACCTCTCATATCACTTGCATCAAACATAAAGGCAGCCCCAGTGAAGACGATCTGATCGATCATCAAGATCTATATTATAATACAACAGGTCTTATTTCACGAAGTGCATGAAATCATGTGGGCGCCTTGGTTAAAACATAAGATTTGGAAAATGTCTGCTCGCGTCATGCTGATTTGCTAGGTCATGCCCACTGACGCCATCAAACCCTGATCTTATGAGTGACAAGCAAGCAACAGATCGAGCCACTCAGACACCAAACAATGATTCATCATATCAGGGAAGTCAACTTTCGCAGCAGAAACACTCAAATGCTAAAATATTGATCAAATGTATAAAAACAAGAGTGCTCTGAGAGCACAACATCCCCCGCATGAATTTATTTAACGAGTCATTTGAAGCTGTTAAACAGGGGCAGTAACTCTGTCAAAATTAGTCGAAATGAAACGGGACTGCGATATGCGTATCAACATGTCGACATCTTGTGTGAAGAGTGTCAGGGATATTCTCTGGAAACTGTAGGAGTTGATTTCACAAGCTTAGTACCCTCTGTGGGACTGACAGACGAACGAACGGACTGCGCCACGACATAATCCCCCTTCGGCCATTCTTGCCCGGCAGGGGATAAAAACCATTCCTTTGAAGGACGCCTTCAATATTTCTGTGAACAAGATAACACAACACCCAATGTGAGCTCCTTCGGCTGTTTACTTGTGATTTTATGCAAAAGTCTGCAACAGATCTAGCAGTCATTTACAAACTCCAAAATGATTTCACACCACCAACGTGCTGTTCTTTCAGTTCTACAAAACAACGCTGTGACTTCCACAGCTCCATCGCAGGACCCACAGCAGCCACAGCGTAGTTGCTGCAAGCCCACTCCTTGGCCTGGGCTCATGGTCCAGACTGTCATCTTGTCATGGCTCCAACAGTAACACATATCGCAGGTCAACCCACAGCCATTAAAAATGTCTCATTGACCTTTCAGTTTTCATAAAAAATTCAAATAAAACATTCTACTAAGCATAACAAGTGACATTTCTTTATTGTTGCCTACAGTGATAAATATTTTGAGAAATCAGGAAAGTAGTGACATGCTTGATACTGTTGCCAAGATATGATAGGGACAGTGTCATAACCATATTGCCAAATAAACATTCAGTAAAAAGGTACAGATAGTTTGTCAACATCTGAATATGAAAGACACATGTTGACTTCATTTTGTAACCCCAAATACCAACGAATATTTTACTTGAAAATTAGCTTAAAACATTTATACTCTCCCCAGTGAGTTACCATGGCAACAGTGTGGACAATGAGCATCAAATGAGATGATGGCGACATATAAATGCTTAAAATACTAAACATATACAAATAGATATATTTTTCGTTTCTTAATGCTGACAAGAAAAAACCTTTTATTGTACAAACAGTTTATTTTCGTTAAAACTATCTTTTTAAAATGGCGACAACTCATGCTGCCACTTAAGCAGTTTCCCTCAAGTCCCAGAATTTAAGGATATGAAAACACAATGAGTCTCCCAAATGAACATGATTGAAAGCACATTTGATTATGTCATTATAAGGGACACCATTTCAGTTCCCAATGTTTTTTAGTTTCGGCTGAAGCATGATTTCAAGTACAAATACCACCAAGACACATTCACGAACATTTCAATGTAATTCCTACACAAAAATAATAAGTATTCTGACAGGTATAGCTGTAAAATCACGCTCCATGACATCACAGGTATCTGTCGAGTAATGCAATGCTTGATGTCGAGCTCCAAAATCAGGAGGCACGTCTCAAGCAACGTCCATCACTGTTTGCACCACAGCAGTAGGAACACACGGATAACAGAGTCTATATCATCATCGTAGGGTTCCAATTTCATAGCTTCTCCCACTTCACTTCACTCCTCTCCTCTCAGGCAGCATCAGCAGCTTCTAAACCAGACCTTTACTTAAAATACCTAGCGCATCTTGTATTTTAATGTGTCGCTCATTTCGGACAGTTCACCCTTGAAGTCTACGTCAACCACAAAGTCAAGATCTCTCTGAAACATAAAAAACACAAATTTGTTAGATGTGCAGGCTACAAATGACTACCTTTGTTGTTGTTTAACTTCCAACACAGCAATATTCAAGCTAAATGACAACAGTCTGTATATAATCAAGTCTTGACCAGGCAATCTAGTGATGACATCATGAGCATCGCTCCACACAATTGGGACACAATGACATACACAAACCAAGTCAATGAGAGTGAGTGAGTGAGTATGGTTTTACGCCGCTTTAAGCAATATTCCAGCAATATCACGGCCGGGGAGACCAGAAATGGGCTTCACACATTGTACCCATGTCGGGAATCGAACCCGGGTCTTCCGCGTGGCGTGCCAACGTTCTAACCACTAGGCTACCCGACCGCCCCCAAATTGCAAAAGAATTTTCTGACTCCTTAAACACCACAGACTCCAAAAGGGATTTGAGCCAATTCTGTGTCAAGTGAGTGAGTGAGTTGGGTTTAACGCCGCTTTGAACAGTATTCCAGTTATATCATGGGGTGTCAGTTTAATGTGGGAGGAAAGCCTGAAGTGATGCAGGTCTCAGACGTTTACCCCTATGATGAAACCCACGATCACGGGTATGGTGCTGACAAACCTAGAAACATAATCAGGACAAACCGGAATTTGAACCCACAATAAGATTTCAGGCGTGCCCAAGGGACGCAACTCTGCGTAATGACGACTGGGCCAACCAGGCACACTGGACATGCATGAGTGTTGTTTAACTGTTCAAAATTGTACTCATTCCAGCTGCACAGCAGCCTGTAAACCAGTGACTAATATCATGAGTAACGATCCATGCCATCGGGATGGGATACAAGCAACACGCAAGTCTAGACCACTATTTCACCGTCACCTCCAGTAACAAGGACGGTCGAAGGGCACAGTTCCAGATAAAACCTTGCTACTCACATTGTTGCTTTTGTTTGGTGTCATGGAAAACGTTCCGTAGATCTCCTCTCCCTTCTTTATAGTGAGGTCGTTCTCACCCAGGTAGAACACGGTCTGCTTCCAGTGGGTATACGGCGCCTCGGGTGCTGTAACAAAGCAACACTGAATAGAGTGATGGGTATTGACCTGGCTTGGGACTGCAAGTTATTACAATGCAACTTTACGTATTGCAGTATGTACCACAATATATTACATGCGTTCTTATATTTGTACTTTCATATGGTTGGTTGGTTTGTTGTTTAACGCCGCACTCAGCAATATTCCAGCTAAATGACGGCGGTCTGTAAATAATCGAGTCTGGACCAGACAATCCAGTGATTAATATCATGAGCATCAATCCACGCAATTGGTATCGATGACATGCATCAACCAAGTCAGCGAGCCTGACCACCCGATCCCGTTAGTCGCCTTTTACGACAAGCATGAATGCATGAGTATGGTTTTACGCCGCTTTTAGCAATATTCCAGCAATATAACGGCGGGGGACACCAGAAATGGGCTTCACACATTGTACCCATGTCGGGAATCGAACCCAGGTCTTCGGCGTGACGAGCGAACGCTTTAACCACAAGGCTACCCGACCGCCCCTACGACAAGCATGGGTTGCTGAAGACCTATTCTACTCCGAAATCTTCACGGGTCTACAAATTTATGCATTGCAGTATGTACCACAATATATTACATGTGTTCTTATATTTGTACTTGGATATGAATATGAGCATTTTCAGTGGATGATGGTTGCTGTTTGTGCATTACCGTATTCGACACAATAAGCGACCAGGACACTCTCAAAATTAGAAAATTGAATGCGCTTATTAGAATGCAATTTTGGTTAAAAACAGAATTGAAAGATCATAAAATTCGCAGTTTGGCAAACGCAGAAAAGTATCTGTGTCCGTATTTTACCCCTGAGAGATTTATGTGTCTCACAAATAATACCATGTGCATCCTTAGAAAATACCACAGCGAGCGCTTATGCAAGCGAGGTGCTAACTACGTTGAATACATTATTAAATTTATCTTCAAATTTCTGACCATATTTTATTTCTTTAAAGTCTGACAGACCCATACACCGAAGCAGTTGTCTTCCATTTTGTTGGATGTTGCTATGGTTACAACTCATGCATAACAAAAAGCTTATTGCGAATAGTTCTACCTTTTCCATCACAGGAATCAGTTTCTAATTTTTTTATTTCACTTCAAAAGACGAAAAATACACGATGTAAAAAACCCGCAATATACAGGTATTTTCTTTACTTTTGTGATATATGTTCATCACTATTACAAATCATGGTATACCGGTAATACCATGCACCTCAAATTGTTTATACAAGCAACTTTAGACAAGAGTCTTCAAACTGTTCCAATGGTGCTGACAAACCAACAGTACATGTAAAGATCAGTCATTATAGCAATGAGCAGCTATGTGAAATAGGGAAGAGAATTTATGGATGTCAACTTCTTTATTATGAGGAACACACCGTTTTGGATACTTACTCCTTCATCTGATGAAGGAGTAAGCATATACTCCGAAACGTTCCATTAGACCTGAACCCACCTGTGGAGAAACCTGTTCGCTTGTGGCATTTTGTGAACTCCATGTTAAAGAAAGTGACCAATGCATGACAGTAGTCATTACGCCGACATTGCAAGTGGAACGGTGAGGTGAAGGTCATGTCATCCTCTGTTACTGTGTAGATGTCAACTTCCTGAAATCATCAAGTGAGAGAGTAATTATGGTTTTACCTGATTTAGCAATATTCCAGTAATATCATGGAGGACACCAGAAATAGGCTTCACACATCGTACCCATATAAGGAATCAAAACCCAGGCCTTCAGCGCGACAAGCTAGGCTACCCAACCGCTTCTGATATCATCCAATCAGTAGTGTGATAAAACCTAAAAACCTTACATCATCACCTTACCATCAGTGGACATTTGTGAGGAGCAAGTGATTTTTTAATTTTCAAAACTTCAAAATAATATTCCCCATCTAAAATTTAGGTATGGAGCTACGATGCTTTGAAAAGACATCAGTTATATCACTCCATGTCAGCTTAATGTGCAAGAAAAGCTAAAAAGGATGTAGGACCACCGCTTTGGTGAAACCCACAAGTGTGAGTAGTGCTTACAAACTTAGAAACAGAATCAGGGGGAATCTGGGACTCAACCTCAGGGTCCCCTTGGTCATAGGTTTCTGGCATGCGAAAGGGAAGCAACTCTGGACAGTGAAATGCTTCGCCTCAGGCCACTGGGCCACATTTAAAGTGCAATGCTGACACTGCAAGGATCATTGTCAAGATGAACATCATTGGGCACCTGATCCTGGTAAGGACTAAGGGAAGTAACTGCACATTGGATTGCAGTGCCCTTTACCAATGCTAACAGATAATGCACGGTTGGACTGCAGTCAGCTACATCATATCTTAATTTTCTAACTGAAGTCACCTCTTCCTGAAACTTAAGTTTCTTGAACTATTCTGGAATTGTAGCAGAAAACTTTGAGGTTCTGCAGAAGATGCAATAATGCATGGCTTACCTTTATAAGACAAGAATTGGAGACAACTTGTTTTGGATCCACCACGTCCACCAGGGGTTCTGAGATTGCTACACTTCGTATGACACTCATGTCAAATCCATAGACATTGTCCCACCCTGAAACATCACAATCTCTACATAACACAATGGAAATACAGAACTAAGATGAAGGGGGATTAGTGGGAGACACTATGGAAGTGTTATAGTGTTTAGAACCCAATACAATCTCCTTCATGACCAATCATCGGTTGCTTTAAAAGAAAATCCCAAACAACTCAACCTCAAAGTGTATCGAAGAGACCTATAAGGATCCGGGGTAGAATAGGTCTTCGGTAACCCATACTTGCCGTAAAAGGAGACTATGCTTGTCGTAAGAAGCGACTATGAGGATCAGGTGGTCAGACTCGCTGACTTGGTTGATGCATGGCATCAATCCCAATTGTGTGGATCGATGCTCATGATAGACTCGACTATTAAGTATCATTTCAGTCAAATTTAGAGTTATAATATGGACCACCATTAGCAGATCTTACCTTAACATTAACAGAATTTTTCTGGACCAGAAATGGCTAAAATCTCAGGCTGTGTATATCTCATCAGAAGAAATGAGTTGAAATACAAGAAAGATTGTGTTATTTGACCTATTAACCATCGCCCCTGTAAACAAATAAAGCACCATAGCCTATATTAATGGGTGTCAGTTACTATCACCTTAGTGCTAAGATGGCTTCATGGAACAGGGCCCAGCTCCCTAAGGATGGCAAGTAACTACCCCCTCCCCCCGGGACCAGGCTGAACCACTCACAGTTAATCTTCTCATCCTTGTACTGACGGTCCTCGATTCCTGTGATGTATAGTGTCGCCCTGTCAGGGAAGATCAAACCCCCTGGTGCCTGGAAATGAGCAGTACAATTAATTTAACAAATCAAATTCCATGGTTCCAGTTGGAAATAATGCTTGCCATAAATGGCGACTATGCTTGTCGTAAGAGGCGACAAAAATGGAATCGAGTGGTCAGGCTCACTGACTTGGCTGATGCATGTCATCGTATCCCAATTGTGTAGACTGAAGCTCGTGATATCAATCACTGGATTGTCCGGTCCAGACTCGATTATTTACAGACCATTTCTATTTATCTCCCAGACCAGTTTCGTTCCATAATATTCCTTTTGTTTTTTGTTGTATGAGTCTTTTTTAACCTCTAGTTTGTATGTGAGAGAATGACTGGCCGCTTGACATTGAAAACTGAGAACCATGTGTCGAACCTTAAAATAATCCAGAAACTGAGCCAAGAACAATGGACATGTTGTCGTATGTATCCATGTTTCATCATGCATTAATAAACATGATGACATATCTTATATGAATCACAACTGGGGGCTCCATCCTCCGTAACAACTGTGCCCAAGAAACAGATACCAATGATCAGAGTGCACACATCATCGCAACCTACCAGCCACTTGTCTCTGGCGAAGATGACCGTCTTGAGCATGGACTCGTAGAAGAGGCAGTAGCCCATCCATTCACTGATGATGATGTCCACCTTTTCTATACCATCGGGAAGCACGACCTCCTCCACCTTGCCTCGTACAAGGGAGACAACTGAAACAGACACATAATACCATGATCTCTGAAGATACAAAGATTTCAAAGCCCTGCACTTTCCGTTGTCGTAATGCAACTGCACTCAGCATTACTCCAGCTACATGATGGCAAGGATCAAGTCTGAACCAGACAAACCTGTGATTGATATGGTAAGCAACAACAGGATTAGAACTTAACACTAGCCTGTTTGCCTTGGGCGAGTACAAATTCCTGCAGGCTAGTACAAATTCCTGCAGGCGAGTACAAATTCCTGCAGGCGAGTACAAATTCCTGCAGGCGAGTTCAAATTCCTGCAGGCGAGTTCAAATTCCTGCAGGCATGTACAAATTCCTGCAGGCGAGTACAAATTCAATCTCATTAAAAACAAAGGTCTGAGGACCTTGTGCAAACTTTGACCAACCAATGGAATGACCAATCAAAAGGCAGCTTTCTCGTGCTTTACGGCACAAAATTCAAATTGGCGACTACGCTTCGAAACATATTTTGACAAATTCTCCATTACAAATTTGAAACCTGAACAAAAAAACATTCTGGAATGGCTAATAGATGGTCTAGATTGTAAGGATTCAGTCGTTAAACCGGTAACTATCCTTCGGAAAACCCCATTTTAAAGTTCTCGAGATTGCCTGATTAGAAATCACATTCCGACTGTCACTTTCATAATCTGGTAAGCAACGCACTGATTGGTCAGATGAAAGGTCGTTCTGACGTGACCCCTAATGGGATGTCTTCAGATCTTTGTTTAGAGGTAGCGAGAATTAAGGTCTGATTTTAATGAGATTGGTACAAATTTTCCCATTGTGTTACCATTACAAGGGCGTTTTGTCTTTTTCCCGGACTGGTAAAGCTTTTGAGTTTAGTTCTAACCCTGAACAACCCACATGGTTCGGATCTGGTCACTAGTCAAGAATACCTTCAAATGTTCTTCATATTCAAATCTTATGTTTAAACATTCACTTTCTTGTAAAATTAGGGAAGGCAAATAGGAAAGGTTTAAGATTGTGTGTTCCGATATGAATAAGGCAACCGCTCAGTATACGTATGTCGAGTGGAAACTGTTCCCAGAGGTCAATAGCATGAACAACAACCCACACTGACCTCAAACCAAGTAATTTTTGGCAAGCAAATGGGTGGGGAGAGAGAAGTGGGAGAGGTGGGGGAATTTTAACCGTCTTAACTGCACACCTGAGGCCTCTGAGCATGTTTAGATAAATCCTTGATAGCAAAAAAAAATACTGAGATCCTCATTTCCAGTCTACTTTACAAGCATGGATGTTGTCAAGGGAATTCCAATTGGTAGAAAAGAAAATCTCCCCATGTTTGTTGCCGTTTAACATCGTACTCAGCAATATTCCAGCTATATGACGACGGTCTGTTAATAATCGAGTCTGGACCAGACAATCCACACATTATCATCGTAAGCATCGATCCACATAATTGGGATTCAATGACATGCATCAACCAAGTCAGCGAGTCTGACTACCTGATTCCTTTGGTCGCCTCTTACCACAAGTTTCGGCTGCTGAAGACCAATTGGTTGGAAGACCAACACTGGTCATCACGGGTCAAATCTCCCCATGGATAGATGTGTTTGTTATCTTTTCGCGAAACAACAAAACTCCACAAAGCTTTTTCACAACAAGCAAAGTATTGTAGACCACCCTTGCCTCACTCACAGGGAAGACTGAACTGTGCACATACCGTTGTCAAGGTGATTGGCTTTCACTATCTTCTCTGCATACTCAATGATGTTTGAGCACTCAATCTGGAAAAACAATAACCATGGTTACTACCATACACTTATTTCCACTCAAATGTGAGGAACAAAACAGGCATAACTTTACACAAAAATATTTTAAACACAACAGACAAGAATGCTGCATGCCCGTGATTGATAATTCCACACAGATGGGTGTTCGAGGGTCGTAACCAGTCCAAATACATGGTACATACTGAACAAAAACGTTAGGGATCATGAATATTTTGGGGATATTGTCTTGTAGTGAACATCGAGCAACAATTTTATAAATAAATATCGCAAAAAATATTCATCATCCCTAACCTTTCTTGTTTAGTGCAGAAAGCAGAAAGCAGTCAAACATGTTTCCATTTATTGTCATCTATGAAAACAGCTGGGATTGTACTCCAGATTACCATCATACAATAGTGACCACTTACGCCGATGACCTTGGCAGCACCAGCCTTGGCTGCGAACATACAGAGGATCCCTGTTCCACATCCAACATCCAGGACTGTCTTTCCCTTGAATAGGTGCTTGTTGTAATACATGGAGTTTCTGTACGTCAAGGTTCGCACTTCATCTTTCAACATTTCCTGAAACAAGAGAATATTTATATCACTTGTCTAAAATATGACAATTTTTAAAACAATGCCATAAAACAGATAGGTTATGTCTTAGTTTAAAGTAGAGTGTCAAGATGAACAAAAGAAGTGTAATTTAAAAATAACCACTTGCAGTTTTTTTAATAAATGCCTGAAGTAACAGATTTACATGGACCCAGAGACACCTGCATTAAATGAAAAACTCAAATGTATAAAAACAGCATGCGTAATTACCCATTGAAGCTTTTTCAGCATGCGTACAAATGAGCTAATTTCCGAAACACAATTACGAGCTAATTTACTTTCCAAGTCAGGCCTATATAACATTGGAAAACAGTTGTATACATCTAAAACATTATTTAATTTGTTTTAAATCTTAAAATGTTCACTAATGTGGGGAAAACCCAATAGAGTGACGAATAGATGAGTGAAAAAATATTGGTTACCCAATGAAAAGTGTAATAACCCAATTAAAATAGAAACCCCAGAGTTAAAACTATATTACTCAAAAAGTTATCTGGAGCTCTGTGTTTTTTTTATACTCTTACCTCATGGATGCCGAAATGTGCGTAGGAGTCAAAGTAGTAATCTTTGGAGGTCATGTCCTCCGCTGGGAGGGCGGGGCCCGCGGGGTCGGCTGGGCCATTGGTGGTGCCGCTGCTGCTGCTGGGTGTAGCCTGGAATCATTCATGTTAAAATCCTGTTGTGTGGATTTATCCAGGGTTCAAAGCTAAGTGTCTCCGACAGGCAAATTTTGTGGGAAAATGTTATCTTGTTCAAAATTGGAATTTTTTAATGTTCCCATTTTCTAAAAATTAGAGGTATTCTAGGATTCTACTTAAATACTGCATTCAATGCAAAAATATGAAACCAATGATTAAAATCTCTTCTTATATATGTTGACCCTGTTATCAGTGAAACCAGATTATCTTAGTCTGTTTCCCAGAGCCTAGAGAATAAACTAGAAAGGAATCCAACTAAAGTCTAGAATGATCACCTCAGCTCTGGGGTTAGAATTTATTTCATATCTTGTAGATACATATTTTTAAGCAATAACTATTTCTGGGACTAAATGTTAGTCCGAGGTTATCTCTACAAAACTATACATACTACTCAAGAGAAGTTTAAAAAACTTGATTTCTTTGTATTATAATAGCTAATCTGTCATGCCGTGGTCTCGTAGGTCAGCCAATTTGAAGCACTGGGCATGCTTACTCAGAAAAATAACCACCATGTATGGGCGACGAGGGTTAGAAAATATTTATTATTTTAACTACACAGATCTGCACAGATACACTAGCTACTCAATGTTAAAAGTGGTAGCAGTACAAGCACTGAATTGTACAGGACAGCTGACTTCAAATGCTGCCAGCCCAAGCCAGAATAAATATGCAGTCTCTGGAGAGGCAATCACTTAGATTAGACCCACATGATCTGTGCATGGTTCTTGGATTCTTGGTGCTACTATAGTCCATTTCTAATGTAGCCAAATAAGTATTACATGTGCTTTTGCAACAGAATTATTATCCATTTTGTCTTTGCTTGAATTGTTGAAATTTTGGACATGGTGAAGTTATCAAGTGCTAAAGCACCAGCATGGTAACCATTCACTATCATGATGTTGCAGCTCCAAACATTAAGTTTTCATCATGCAGCACCCCTGCTGGTCTGATTTAAACACCCCTCACCCACCCTGAAGTGAAGCAATCAAAATTTGAAACAGCCTTTGGAAGATCCAGGATCTATCTCTGGTATAATAGCTAGGTAGATTCTATATGGACAGATCATGCGATTTGCTGATCAAGTCCGAACAAATCTAAAATGTTATTATCACTTTCCCTCAAAATGGATTTTATAATACTACCAAGAACTTCAACAGTCCAAATACGACAAATTGAAAGACCCGGGCTCTACCTAACGCCATGCTTGATCAGTGGCTTCGCCATGTGTTAACCCTTTGTGTTCTGTTTAGTACAATGTTTTAATTTCTTAAACTATTAACATAATCTTCCACTTTCCAATTAGTTATCAAACCTAATAATTGCCTACATAGTGAATGACAAATGCACATTTGAACACACGATCGTGTCCAAAATAAAACTTTCAAAAGATCCTATCGTACCTACCGGTTAAATGGTCAATAGCTGCATCCGATGAAGTCTGGGGCCATTTTGATAGATAAACATTGTTACCGATATTGTTAATTGATGTATTAGTGCCGAAACGTTTGCTATATTTGAACAGTTTTGAAACATTATCTCAAAATACAAACGCAGTCCTAACAAGCAGCATTTAAAAAGCTGCCAACCAAATTCACGTGTTCAGCACGCAGATCCCATGTCATTATTGATCATAAAGAAATTTCATTTAAAATGACACTATCATCCCTTATAATCTGTTCCGTCCATAAACAAAGTTGTTTTCTATGTTAGTCTAACTCTTAATCGTTGTTATTTTGAACAATTTAACAAGAAAACACGAATGTAAGCTTACCTCCATTTGTTCGTCAGCCATTTTCGTCTTTCTCAAATTCTGAACTGCGCGCACATGGTTGTGAAGTACGTCATCATTTCTTGCCTACACACCAACCAATGACGAGGGTCACACATTACCTATTCGCCGTCGCACACAAGCAGCTGTCTGAAATAGTAAGTTATTTTCAGATGTAAATTACATCACACTGAATTTGCCAATATAGTGTATTGGCTGATAAAGGTGATTTCTGATTATTACATAATGCCTGTATCAACTCTGTTTGAATTGCTATGACATGTCAATGGAAGTGACAGCTGATTTAATGCACTGGTTAAACCTCAAATGTGCAGCGCACTTGACATTGTCATGGGCTGTGCGAACAGTAGTGAATGAACTTGAAATTTGACTCTTTGACTGTCCCGTCGGTCGGCAATGGGACGATTGTCCCTGAAACTATATAATCAGCCGTTTTGGGGATTTTGCGCAGTGCATAATAATTAACATGATAAAATATATTTTACATAAATCTATAAACTGCGTGCAATATATGTATCATGTAAAATAACGTTTTGTTTTAGGATAAAGTGTTCGTCCTGTCACAAATGTTGAGTTACAATATTATCCAGTGCATTTATTGTTTGGAGAACATGTGTTGGACTGTGATACAGGTAAAATGTAATCACGATTTAGTCTCTTTATGAGTTATAACTAATTAAAATCATAAATTGATGCTCCTGGACAAGAGAAGGCCTATATAAATTCTGAATTTGTAGACAACTGATAAGTATTTGTTAATATGATTATAAATCGTTTATGAGTAACACACCTATATGTCTATATCATGTTTGAGCAAGTGAAAGTACTACTGTTATTAATGCTTTAATAAACTTGTACTATTTAAGAAAGTAGTAAGTAAAACAAGTACATTTTCAATCCAGCACAGTATTTTAATTATTCCTTTTTGTGCTTAAGAATTATAAAGTTTAAGTCATTTTGTAAGACTAAAAAATAAAGCGATCTGGCTAATAAAGAATTAGAAAACAACATGCAAAATATGCTTTAAATATACTGAAATACGCAGACAAATCAAATCCTAGCTTGTCAAATACGCAACAACAAAAATAAATATGCTATTGAAATAAAATGTATGCTTATTTACAACTATAAGATAAAAAGATTGCATAAATAGATAAAATAACTGCATAAACCAAATGCAAAATTCACAAAATGACAGTTCCATTCGGAAACTTTTGTATGACAAACTCAAATAACGAGATTCAAATTGAAAGCACATCATGTCTAGTCAATGTATCTTAAACAGTTGCTGATTGGTGATAAAAAAATAGCGCCTTTCTTACAATGCTAGGTTTTGCAAACAAAAATGGCTTCTCTGAGAGGGAGCCGCAAGCAGATGCAGACGAGTATACTACTACTCATTTAGTTTTAAATGATTTACAGTGATAGTTATGTAACAGGTTTGTGAGGTTTTGCAAACAAAAATGGCTTCTCGGAGAGGGAGCCGCAAGCAGATGCAGACTATTACTCATTTAGTTTTAAATGATTTACAGTGATAGTTATGAATCAGGTTTTCGAGTTAAAATACCCAAATGTCAAGAAACAGCTGGGTAGGTAAAAAAAATTGACTACTCCCGAAAAATTGTGGATACCCAATCAAAATAAAACCCCTGGGTAAAATACCCAAATTACCAAAGGCTTATCTAGTGTTCTCTTTTCTTTTATGATTTTATTTCCATTATATTTGTTAATAAGTAAAATTATATGTATGCAAGTGTGTAATAGTTAAAATAATGAATGACTTAAGTCATAAATCTTAGGAAGAAATCAAACTTTCATAGCTGAAAAGTATAGTACCATTTGGTTTGTTTTTTTTCTTCACAACTTACTTTCATTTTGTTTACCGTTGCACCTGATTATAGACCTCATAGCGACCCAAGTGTTGCTATCAAATGCCACATGTTCAAATTATTGATGTTTTTGTTGAAAGCATTGATAATTTTGCTTTCAACTCAACATAAATGTACAATCCATATTTTCAGCACATTGAACATATTGATTTATGCTGTGAATATCTAATTGAAGATAAAAGACTGTATGATAATAGCAGTTATTCAACGCTTTGCCTGCCAAATGTAACGCTTTATTGTGTGTGACATTGTTGCTTATTACAAAGCCTATAAAGGATTCTGCAGAGTTCAAATTCATTTATAGATTTTTCCAAATTCTGAAGCTCAACCTATGAAATACTGCATGCCACGATTTTCAGTTCAAAATTTAATAAGCAGGATATTTTTGTGAAAATAAATGTTTTTCAGTGTTTTTTAAAGAATATTTATATACTTGAAGTATTAAGCAATCTTTAACTCTGAATAAGTCAAGTACATGTATGTCATTACTATTACCAGTACTTTCATCAATCCCGTGAAGATCAGGATCAGTCTTTAGCATCCCATGCTTGTACTTAGAGGGAAGTACAGAATCAAGTGGTCAGAATCACTGACTTGGTCGATCCCTGTCATTGAATCCCAATAGCGTAGATTTATGCTCATAATGTGAATCACTGGATTGTCTAGTCCGGACTTGAATATTTGCCTACCATCATCATACAGCAGGCATATTGCTGAGTAACATTAAACAACAAACAAACAGACATTATTTTCATGAAACAAATTATTTATTTACTGAATACCCCTTGTAAGTTAGACAAAAATTAATCATTGTCTACAAAGTATTATTTTTCTTACTTGGTGAAAACGTTTGTTTTCTCATTAAAAAATCTGTAATATCTGTCAACACTTAACCAAATTTATGTATTAGTTTGAAAATGATGCCAATTTTGAGTTAAATGACTGACAGAGCTCCAGATAAGCTGCGTATCTGCGTAAAATACGCATCAGAAATGCAGAAATACACAGTAAAATATAATCCAAGCGTATCAAATACGCAACGAACATTACAGATACGCTACAAAAATAAAACTTGTGCGTATCATCAAAATATTGTGAAGTAACTCTGCGTATTCGATTAGCAAATCAGCAACTCCACGATGACAGTTACATCATGATCATTTGCCATCACACTTTCTTGTGGAAGTATCGTGGTATTTTTGAGTCCTATAAAGCTCTCGAACCCACACGACACCAGTTTGCAGGGACTAGATGAATAGTGTTTTTAAATATTAAACTTAAATACCCACATGTGTAAAAACTAGTGGGTAACAGACATTTGAATACGCAGATAGAATTACTGATACCCAATGATTTTAAAATGCATGGATAAAATACCCACAACACCAAAAGCTTATCTGGAGCTCTGGACTGACATGTTCATTGCACAGCCTGGGATTAAAGTGTGAGCCGACACTAGTATGGTCAGTAGTTGGTGCTCGCACTGTCGACCACTGCTTGTCCACCCCAGGGTGACATCAGGGCCTGGAAATATATCCCACAGAGTCAAGACTGTTTTCTAGCATTCATGACCCCCTCCAAGAGAGCATCTGCCCAGAGGGCAGCCCTCTAAGTAGCGATCATTATGGTGGCCAAATACGACTTGAACCTATGGCTGGCAACCTAAATTGGCTCCCTAAAAAAAACAACTTAGAGGACGGAAGGTTGGTGGTTCGATCCTCGGCCATGTCATACCAAAAGACATTGAAAGATGATACTAGTTGTTACCCTGCCTGGCGCTCAGCTTCAAAATCAAAGGGATAAAACAAGGACTAGTTGGCATGGAGCCTGAGTGGGGTATCCATGCTAACTGCAGTGAGCTAGCGCGTGACCCAGTCACTATATAAGTGCAGTAATCTTGAACGCAACGTTTAACCAAATGTCCCCTCACCGCTAGCATTAACCTTTCCAGTATGCCAGTCTTTGTATGCAAATTGCCACACACAATAATAAATCGGCCATGGCGGTACAGTCTTTTTGCTCCTTTTCTAATCACAACAAAACAGACAGCACAACAAAACGTGAGTGGATTCTTTTCCTATATGTGACCAAAGTAAACGAAAGGTCAAATTCAGGCAACGAATATTCATCACTTTTGTGAACATGGTGTGGTAGCATATTCAAGGAAGACAAAAGGATCGAGGCGAGTGATGTGTGTATTTCAAATGGATACAGTGAATTTACTGGTGTAATTTTACTTACCAGTTCTCATGTGGCTGATGAATGAACGCTGTGTAATTTCCGTAACAGTGTATAGTTACCGGATCAGAAGAGTTGCCCTATTGTCTAATTGTCTGGGTAATGGTAGACTTGCAAAAGTCTCTGAGGCAAAAAATATTAGTTTAAATCATAATTTTGCAGATTATATAAATAATAAGAATAAGTTGTCTGTATAAGAGACTGGAGTCCTTATAAGGTCTGCTTATCTAGACTTGCCTATTTAAGGATAAATTTCTATACACCCATGGACTTATCATTCAGTACAGCCTTGGAGTAAGGCTAGGGTAATGGGTACACAGGGATTGTCTAGACAGGATCAGAGGCCGATATTCGGCAACAAGTCTGCAGCAAATATTAGTTAAAATTCCCAAATTGGAATTAATCATTTGTTGGTGCTAATACAGTTTGACTGATGTTGTTGTTTTATAGAATTGATTGTATGTCACTGATAACAGAACCAATGAAGAGGCTTTAATGCTTGGAATTACATCATTGCATTGACCCGTGAAGATCCGGGTTAGAATAGGTCTTCAACAACCCATGATTGCTATAAAAGGTCACTTTGCTTGTCATAAGAGGCAACTAACGGGATTGGGTGGTCAGGCTTGCTGACTGGGTTGATGCATGTCATCATATCCCATTTGAGTTGATCGATGCTCATGATGTCAATCACTGGATTGTCTGGTCCAGACTCGATTATTTACAGACTGCTGTCATATGGCTGGAATATTGCTGAGTGAGGCGCTAAACAACAAACAAACATCATTGCATTGAATGGAATATGAAAGCACATTGTAAAAATACTTTTGAAAGAAAACAAATAAAATTCCAATTTGCCTTCCAAGGGCACTTAGTTTAGACTCCTGGATAAATGCCTAATATAGTGTTACAGGCCCTAATCCCATAACTGACATGTTTATCAAATACTGGACAGATACATCTTCCCTGAAGTGGGGTAGTGAGTGTTGTTTTGCTACAAGCATGGCACACAGGGGAATCAGTAAGTGAGGCTGTGTGTGTGTGTGTGTGTGTGTGTGTGTGTTTGTCTCTGTGTATGTGTGTTATATGTGTGTTTGTCTGTGTCTGTGTGTTGTGTCTGTGAGATGTGTGTGTGTGTATGTGTGAGTGAGTGTGTGTGTGTGTGTGTGTTTGTCTCTGTGTATGTGTGTTATATGTGTGTTTGTCTGTGTCTGTGTGTTGTCTGTGAGATGTGTGTGTATGTATGTGTGAGTGTGTCTGTGTGCGTGCGTCTGTGTGTGTGTGACTGTGTGTGTCTGTGCCTGTCTATGTGTGTCTGTCTCTCTGTGTGTCTCTTTCTCACTGTGTCTCCATGTGTCTCTGTGTCTGTGTCTGTATCTGTTTTCAATACATACATAATATATTACTTAATATAGACGTGACATTAATCTTGCTGGAAACGGTGTGGAAGTGTAATTGAGTACTTACTGACAGACACTGTCTGCTGGGGCTGAGCAGGAGAACTGTAAAGTCAGTTGTATCTAATCTACTACATTTGATGAGATCCAGAGCAGTGTGAAATTACTTCCTGCCCTAACGACGACCCGATAAGTCTCACAGCACATCTGCCTCATCATATGCTTCAGTTTGCTCAAATAGTTTATAACGTTGTCATTAACTTCTTTCAGTTTAGTTAGAAAGGATGACTTAAAGAATTCCTCAACTGACCAACATTTATATTTCCTGAAACAGTAGTTATGGACTGACATCTAGTCCCAGAAATAAAGTTATCTCATCTAAACATATATATCTACAAAATATAAAATAAAATCCAAATGGAGTCTAGAACAATCCTTAATTTCAGGAACTGAGGCAATCTAGACTTGCCAATCACTCTAGATTTGAGTTAGACTCCTTTGGTAATTTTTTCTCTAGGATCTGGGAGATAGTGGTTAGAGTGTCTGCCTGGAGAGCAGAAGGCAGATGGTTCAATTCCCAGTTGTGTCTTACCAAAAAAAGGTTAAAAGGTTACTTTTTGTTTTCCTGCCTGGCACCTGGCATTGAGAGGATGAAACACGGACATGTGTTATTGCTGGTTTTATAGTGATATCCCTTTGAGATACCCTGCTGCAGTTTATCAAGGATACCGACTCCCGACACATTATAGTGACTCCGAGCAGACCAGTCCTTGTTTTACATATGCCCGTAATGCAGGCTGCGTGGGTCATTGTTCGGATTAATAGTCACTGGATTTTCTGGTCCGGTTTATTTGCAGGCTGCTGTCATAGCTGCAGAATTGAGACATTAAACAAACAAATATTTTTTTTCAGATGTGTAATCATGTTTGTGAAATAGATAAAACATTTAATTGTTGTGTCATAATGCTGAAAAAGTATTAAGGTAATAAACAACATATTTGTCCTGACATCCACGCTTATTTTTCCAGTCCAGCACGACCCCCATGACTTAGTGTACATAGGATGTGTTTGAGTCCCCTGACCTCAACACCAGCTGTGTCCGCCCATCCCATCAACAGCCAACCAACAGCAAAGTAGGACCAGCACTTCAATCAAGCCCACAGCCCACAGCCACTGACCCAAACAAAAACAAGAGATTGAAAACTTCCCACACAAAATAATCAGATTGGCCTCACAGCTCGCTGGGCAGAGCTTGATAGTGTGGACTCATTGCTTAGTGTGTGCTGGCTGCTGGAGAGGGTGCACCTGATCTAGGAGTATATGTATTAGCAGGAACCGACCAAAATTCCCTGATACCAGGAAAAATAACACGTCTTAAATCAGCAAACTTCCTGTGGGACCATCCTAGGCTGGTTTTTGCTACAGACCAGCTGTCTGGGTTCTTGCAGTGATTCTGTGTCAACGGAAGAAAACCTTGGATAAAAAGTAGCAGTTGTCAGCATCTTCTCTGTGAAGTTAAGTGTGTTTGTGAAATTTGGAAGTTTTTCCGCGTTTTTGAAAGCAGGAAAGATCTCCTCTGGGTTATTCTAAGGAATTTCTGTCAATGTCTGTTTGACTTGGAACTTAAATCTCCTGGATTCAATTTCACAGCAAGTTTTAAGCTGACAAGATGGCACCTCGAAACAGACGAGCGGACAACGGTTGTTGCAGTCTGCTGTTTCTACGATATGTCTTGTTTGTCTTCAACGTCCTTTTCTGGGTAAGTGCTCTCTATAATGTTAATCAGTTCTTGTATGTGAATACTATTATATGATGTGACATGTCATGAGGTATCTTGTCTAATAGGACTTTTGTCAACTATGTATATATCAAGACTAAAGCCCCCACTACACTATCAAAAACTTTGATATTTTGACCAGGTTTTTGATAGTGTTACATGCCGTCAAAAACTTTGTCAAAGTTTTTCATTGGCTTTGATGGAATAGAAACCGATCCTATTTCTCATCGAACTTTGATGGACCTTGATGTAATTTAACCAATCAGAATGCAAGAAACATCTAGTAGTTGAAACCGTCAATCTTGGTTTGGTTTGGTTTGTTTTTTGTTTTACGCCGCACTCAGCAATATTCCAGCTATATGACGGCGGTCTGTAAATAATCAAGTCTGGACCAGACAATCCAGTGATTAATATCATGAACATCGATCCACGCATTTGGGATCGATGACATAGCAAAGTCGCCTTTTACGGCAATCTGTCAGTCTTGTGTCCTGCCTTTGAATGTAAGCCTTCACATTTTCAAAAAAGAATCCTGAACGTTTCCTTGTTAATTCTTAGACAGCTGACATAGGCGTGGAATCTTCTCTATCCAACTCTTGGAGGAGAGTAGTGTAGGCACTAAGCTGGTCCCTCCTCTGCAGCCCATATACTCCTTTGCCACTGCCTTCGTAACATGACAATTCACAAAATACACATAAAAACAAACATTCTTCCTCAGCAGCATCCATCTTGGTGAGATAATTCCCGCCAAAACTTTGATGAGTGTAAACAGCCCAACTTTGACCAAAGTATCTTGCTCAAAGTTTTCATTGACCAAGTTTTTTATTAAAAAAATTGATAGTGTAAGGGGCAACTGTGTATATAGACAATGTACTCAGTGTTATATTACATGGTGTAACATTCCCATTATCAGATACTATCATCACGATCAGTAAATATGTGTCTATAAACATCACGAAACTGTTTGTTTAGGCTGTACATTGTGTAAGAATGTAGTATTAAATTCAGTACTCCAAACTGTATCATCAAACTCCATAGCTTACGATATTCGATGTATTAACCACCCAGTTCATTGAACACTATGGGGTTTCCGAAATGGAGTTACCCAATTATTGATGTAAAAACCCATGACTGAGGATCCATTGATCCAGATGTTTGGCCTATCTGTTTTTGTGACATTGAGCCCTCATGGCGTCGGCCATTGCTCGCTCTATCAACTGGTTTTCCTGGCTTGATCACAGCATTCACTCACACAAGCCTTGAGTGAGTGAGTGAATATGGTTTTACATCGCTTTTAGCAATATCCCAGCAATATCACGGCGGGGGACACCAGAAGTTGGCTTCACACATTGTACCCATGTTGGGAATAGAACCTGGGTCTTTGGCGTGACGAGCGAACGCTTTAACCACTAGGCTACCCGACCGCCCCCATAAGCATTGAAATTGAAGTATAATATTTTATACATGTTTAATAAGCAACCTAAATATTTTATATGCCCGCTGTTCTAAATATGTCAAATATGGTACTGTGTTTGACATATTTGAAGCTTGGTAAGCAAGATGTTATCACAGCAAGGGGTTCATTTCAAGTTCACACCATTGACAATGAATAATGCAATACAAATTAGATTATGCTGGTAAGGGTTTAGATGATTTTTTTAGATCATTGCGCTGTTCTCCTACTGCAAGAAGTTTTAATAAAATATTAAACACATGATTAACACATGATTATAAAACATAAATAAAAAACTTATCATTATCATGATTATCATAATTATTGATGCTGTATTTCCATGCTTAATGGGTAAACACAATGCACAGTAAGCATGGTAAGGAAACTTGATAATCCCCTGGGTTTTACTGCGCACAGAATATTGCATCCTACACGCATCCAAATTGAGAATGGATGCAAATAATTTACATTCTGATTCCTGTAGGGTACATAAAATTACGGACATTTGAATTGTAAAAATTGTAGATTGCCTGTTACTTCTTACATATACTGCTATTCTGGTAAAAAATACCCTCAAAGTTCAGTGTGTCAGTGATTGATTTTCTTCGTTTCAATCCAACACTGAATAATCCCTTTGTACAATAGGCTTCCGACTTCTGACTAACCTTAGCATTAGCCAACGATATGACATCTGTAGAATTGTTGGAAGTGTGCCAACATCTGTCCGGCCTGGGACCCCCAGGTTCATGTCTTGGACCCCCAAATGTATTACTGAGAGACCCCAGGACTTGAATAGAAAGATCCAGGTAAAGCCCTGGACCGTCGGCAAAATGTTTGAAGAGACCAAAGACACATGATGGCGGTGGGGTAGCCTAGTGGTTAAAGCGTTTGCTTGTCACGCCAAAGACCCTGGTTCGATTCCTCACATGGGTACAATGTGTGAAGTCCATTTCTGGTGTCTCCTGCAGTGATATTGCTGGAATATTGCTAAAAGCAGCCTAAAACCTCACTCACTCACTCACTCACTCACTCACTCACTCACTCACTCACTCACTCACTCACTCACTCACTCACTCACTCACTCACTCACTCACTCAAAAACACATGGCTGGAGAATACTGTCACAGATTCATACCTTGGATGCAGATCTTACTGGAAGTACTCCACTATTGGTGGGAACACATTTCTCATGTAACCACTGCCTTAATTGTCAGGGTGACCTCTGGTCTGTTTTTCAGTCCCTAAACCATGTTATTGTCCGTTCAATATTGTCCCTCCCACCCAGCCCTTATGATGTAGCTCTAAATGAAGCAAGTCTAGATTTCTCCTGTCCTGAAGTCATCTGACATGGGCTCCTTTTCAATTGAAATGGTGTTGTCTGTTTCTATCAAATATATATATTTTCAGAGACTAAGCGTTAGTCTAGGAACCTTCTGTTCATGTTGATTTCTGAGAGATGATTTTTCATTACTCTGTGTTGTAATTCAATTAGAGCATTTTGAGACCTGAGAATTATGTATATTCATGGTTATTGTATTTAATTCAATGAAAAAACAAAACAAAGTCATTTAATTTGTACTTCAATGATCAAGTATGTGAAAAACCGGGTTTATTGTTGGAATTAAAAATCCACGTTTTCAAGACACCACCCTGACTGATTACATTGATTAAATAGTTTCCCACATATTGAAGAAACATGATTGATGCAAAAACAGTTTTATATATATAATCAAATTTAATTTATTGACATAAACATGTCAGCATAAATCATATATAAACAAAGGGTAAAATATATAAATTGTTTCCTTTTTGACATAGAAATTAAGAAAATATGTTTTTGTTTGTTCAGCATTCTGTTTTTTGCTCACCATATTTAAAATTATTCAAGAGCAACAAAACTCTTCTCTAATAACAGTGATAAAAGTTCCATGCTCAAATATTGTAAATCCAGACCGTGAATTCCTGGTTAATGAATTTCCTCCTAAAGGAAATATATATTACATGCTAATGAAATGGAAGGACAGACTTCCTCTATCCTGCCATCTGGTGGGTAGGTTAAGTACCTGATGCTGTAAGGACAGGTGCCCCCAGGGGAGGAGACAGTCAGCAGGGAGTGCCCTGAGACTCAGGGGAACAAGAGACTGGGTGTCCGTGAAGTGCCTGGTGTGTTACAATTTGTAATCAGTAATTATAGATGATTTGTCTGTGAGGCATAATTTGGCTCACTGTTTGTTTCACTTCCCTTTCAACCAGCAGCAAATTCATGTAGCATAAATCCTTGCCTCTGATACCCAACACAATTTATCTAAATCTCCCAAGCAAGTTTACAAACTTGGGCAAGTTTTCAATGCTTGGGCAAGTTTACATATTTGGGCAAGTTTTCAATACTTGGGCAAGTTTTCAATACTTGGGCAAGTTTACATACTTGGACAAGTTTACATATTTGGGCAAGTTTTCAATACTTGGGCATGTTTACAATACTTGGGAAAGTTTATAATACTTGGGCAAGTTTTCAATACTTGGGCAAGTTTTCAATACTTGGGCAAGTTGTCAATACTTTGGGCAAGTTTACATATTTGGGCAAGTTTACATACTTGAGCAAGTTTTCAATACATGAACAAGTTTTCAATTCATGGGCAAGTTTTCAATACTTGGACAAGTTTACAACACTTGGGCAAGTGTTCAATTCTTGGGCAAGTTTACATACTTTGGCAAGTTTTCAATACTTTGGCAAGTTTTCAATACTTGGGCAAGTTTACAATACTTGGGCAAGTTTGCAATACTGTGGGCAAGTTTACATATTTGGGCAAGTTTACATATATTAGGCAAGTTTACATACTTGAGCAAGTTTTCAATAAGGTTTCGTAATTTTTAGGAAAATGAAGGGATTGTCTTGGCTCCGCTCTATTATTTATTAAAAGACATTTTGTTCCCCCAAAATATGTCTTAAAATGTTTTCATTTCAGGGACCGAATGTAAATCCTTGAGATAAAACTGATGGAGTGTGATGGAGACTTAATCATGTTAAAAGGTGTTAAAAAGTACTGAGTTAGTGTGTGGAAATGAATAAATAAATTAATGAATAAATTGGTTAAGGGATGATTCACCAAGAATGTGTTTGAGAAGACATTAAACTTGTTCTGTGACTTTGAAAGTGTACTGTATTTGATTCTTTAGATGTGTATTTAATTTTTTCAGTTAAACATTGACAAAAATAAAATATGAATTGTCCATTTTGAAATATGTATTGATATCAAAGCTTTTAATCATGACCAGATTGTCAGTTGATCGTCACATTGGGATGTTTTAGAAGACAAGATGCCGTCTGTATCGATGACACTGAATTGTTCTGGCTATGTTAGTGTGTGTAGTCAATGGATTCGTGTCATGAACCTTTTGAATCATGACCAGATTATCACTCTTGTTTAGACCAGAAAACTAGTGTCCGTGTAACAGTAACACTAATTTATTCTGGATACGGTGTGTGCTCACTGACTGTGTTTTAGTCATGACCTCTCAGGACTGTTGG